ATAACCCAATTTGTGTGAATTACCAATATTTTTTTTTTCAAATTAACCAAATTTTCATTTGAATTGCTTATTGATGTTTGTTGCGACCCTCTTTTTCCCGTTAAGGAAAAAGATACGAGTTTAGGGGTATCGCCTAAAAGGTAGGCCAATAGCCCTCGATTAGGCGCGGACTCTCTTAAGTCCATACCTTGCACAACGTTGGATTTCATTTTAAGTTTCGGTTAATTTCAAAGGAAGTTTTGTGTGACAGGAGTCATCACAAGCCATTTAGGATTGGTTAGAAACCAAATGAGACGTGAAAGGTTTGTCTCATTTCCTACGCAACCAGAAATTCTAAACTCGGGGCCTCAATTATGCTTATGTCTATTAGTGCTTTTGTGATATCACTAACTTGGAGGGTCGTTATGTAAGTGGTCAAGCATGTTTTTATAAATTATAATTCTAAGGTATCAAAACTGCTGAGTGATCATGCAAATATTGGGAAAATGACATAAATGGTCCATAAACTTTAATTCAATATGCAATGTCGTCCCTCAACATTTAAATTATTCGATGTGATCCTTGAATTTTAACCAAATTTGCAATGTTATCCCTAAATTTTTAATGTGGTCAGAGACATTGGGCTAAAATTTGTGCCCGGACTTTTAATTCTTTTTTCTTACGTTGTTACTCTTTGAATGGTCTTTCATTGCTAAACTTTTATTGAACAGGTCCTTCAAAGACTTTGTTGACCGACTATTCAAACCGAATTTAACCGTCCGTGTCGCTCAAACCCTTGCCACACGCACTAGGTTTGGTCCAGCTCGCACGTAGAACTCATTGGAGTCTTCTAAATTTGGCATTTGTATTGCATATCCAAGTCAACTCAATAGTGATGGCTAATGCCTGTTGCGTTGCCCCCTATCTTTCAAGTTCTACTTGCTACTAAAGAAAGAAGGTACGGTTCAGTCGAAGCGAAAGAGTTGCAAACCTTCAACTTGTCCAGGAAAAGACAATCTTTTCGTTATCTATCTCTTATCTTCACTCTTGACGTGGTGGCTGCCACCAATTTAATTACGACTAAGATGGATAGAAGAATGTTCCCCGGGATGAAGAGAAATTGACCTTCTTAGTCCTAGATTATTGGGGAAAAGTGCCAAAAAAGTCCTAAACATTTTGCATTACTGCCAATTTAGTCCTAAACATTTTTTTTTTGCGTCAATTCAGTCCTAAACCTTTTGCATTGATGCCAATTTAGTTCTAAACCTTTTTTTTTAGTGCCAATTCAGTCCTAAATCTTTTGCATTGGCGCCAATTCAGTCCTAAACCTTTTTGTCTTTGTGTCAATTCAGTCTTTCCGATCAATTTTGGTAGGATTTTGTTGACGTGGACGTCGGCCGGTCACCGACGCTGATGTAGATAACTTTTAATAATATTTTAATATTTTTTAAATATTTATTTTTTTTCTTTTTTTTTCCTCCTCCTTCCTCCAGCCGGTCGCCAGAGGCCGGCGATGTCGACCTCGCCGGATCTGGCGAGGTCGAGCCTCACCGTGGCTGGGCGAGGCACGACGTTGCCAGATGTGGCGAGGTCCAGCCACGGCGAGGCTTGCCTTCACTGTCGCCGGCGAGGGCGAGCCTCGCCAAGGGTCGGTGAGGTCGACCTCGCCAGCGGTTGGGCGAGGCACGACCTCGCCAGATCTGGCGAGGTCCAGCCTCGCCCAGCCATAGCGAGGCTCGCCTTCGCCGTCGCTGGTGAGGGCAAGCCTCGCCGGCCTCTGGCCTCTGGGACCGGCGACCGGCTGGAGGAAGGAGAGAGGGGAGGAAAAAAAATAAATAAAAATTCAAACAAATATTAAAATATTATTAAAAGTTGTCCACGTCAGCGCCGGTGATTAACCGGCCGGGGTCCACGTCAGCAAAATCCGGCCAAAATTGACTGGAAGGACTGAATTGGCACAAAGACAAAAAGGTTTAGGATTGAATTGGCATCAATCCAAAAGGTTTAGGACTGAATTGGCACAAAAAAAAGGTTTAGGACTGAATTGGCACAAACGCAAAAGGTTTAGGACTGAATTGGCAAAAAAAAAGGGTTTATGACTAAATTGCCACAAATGCAAAAGGTTTAGGACTTTTTTGGCACTTTTCCGCAGATTATTGTAACTCACTTAGTCAGGAAGCTCAGCGCCGAAAGCCCGATTGCCTGACGTTCGACTTTGAAAGCGAAACTAGCCCATTGGTCGCCCTTGCCTTGAAATGCTAGAAGTTTGCGATATCGCTTCTCTTGGGCTAATGCTTGGTAGTATCCAGACTTGCTTTCAACAACAAGTAATCGAACAATAAAATAAACAAAACAAGAAAATAAATCAGATTCCAAATTTACGTGGTTCGGTCGGGAGGACCTATTCCATGAGAGAACAACATATGATTCAACTGTAAATGAAACGATACAATAGAAATTACAACTATATTCGAAAAATCAACCTAAATTAGATAGATTTAACTTACCAACTCCTCTAATTTATGACGGAAAGAAATTCTCTTATCATTAAGTAAATTTATTTACTTTTCTTAAAAACTCCTAAAAATAACCCGATATTATATGAGATTGTTAATCCTTTTTGTGCGAATCGCCAACTTTCTAGGATGAAATTATCAAATTTCATCTCTTGAATTGCTCACCAACGTTTATTTGATTTTTCTTAACTTATCAATTTTTCCATCGAGTTACATCATTTATTTGCCTTACTTACCAACCCTTTTTTATATGATTAAATTCCCAACTAATTTTGCATTACTGAGTCTTATTTCAATCAGTTACCAATGTTTATTTTCTTAATATAACCAACTTTCTTATATATAGCAAAAAGAACAAAAGTATTTTATTATCTACCAACTTCTATTTTACTTTTTTATAAGCACCTTAAATTTAGCATTTTAAAATTACCAATCTTTATTTGGTGACAGACCAACTTTATTCCCAAGTAAGCAACCCAATAAAAAATGTGGTCAATTGAAAAAAAAACCAATAAATTTCTGTAACTATTTTAACCTAAACTAGTTGATAACTTACTCAGAGATAGATTGATAAACCACTTATATTAAATTTAGTAATTCATATAAGAGTTGGTAAATTTAAGGCGTAATTAAGAAAGATATATAAAATTTGGTAAAAGATGAGAAAAGTTGGTATTGAAAGAAAATGAAAGTTGGTAAATAGTTGGTAACTTAATCATAGAAAAGTTGTTAGATTCTCTAATTTAGGTTGGTAATTTCTAAAAAAATGATAAATTTGAACATTGCTTAGAAATTTAAATAACATTTTGTCAAGGATAAGAAAGGTCGGTAAATTAAATGAATTAAATAATTATCAATGAGTAACTCAAATAAAAGTTGGTAACGTAATATTAGGTGATAAATTATGGGAGAAAAGTTGGTGAATCACACTAATCTCTAAAAAGAGGTAGTAAATGGAAGGAGTTGCAAAGCATGGCAAATAAAATTGGCAATTCAGTTGAGAAGTCGATAAATTAAAAAAAAAACATTTATAAGCAATTCAAATAAAAATTGGTAATCCAAAACTAGTCGGTACTTTATAATGACAAAAGTTAGTAAATCAATCTAATTTAGGTTGGTAATTCCATGCAAGAGTTAGGGTGCGTTTAGGAACCACTTGCCCAAGGGGCTTTGGCAAATGCAAGTAATGTTTGATAAATTTTTTGAAGAGTTTTGGGAAGGTGCAATTGCATTTCCTAATGCATGTAAATGCCTTTAACCTGCATTGGGCTTTGAGAACTTCCAGGATGCTATTACATTTTTTCGTGACTCGACCATGTTGATAGTTACTTTGAGAGAAAAGTGTTAGAAAAATCTTAAACTTTTTACATTTGTATCAATTTAATCCTAAACCTTCTGTCTTTGTGCCAATTCAGTTTTTCCGGCTAATTTTGGCCAGATTTTGTTGGCGAGGACGTCGACCGGCCTACGTGGCACCGTCGGCGATGACGTGGATAACTTTTAATAATATTTTAATATTTTTCAAAAAATTTATATATTTTCTCTTTTTTTTATTCCCTTTCTTCTTCCTCCAGCGGGTTGCCAGTCCAGCTGGTGACCGGCTGGAGGCTAGGGCCGGCGAACCTTGCCGGCCTCTGGCGAGCCCCGCTCGATTGGCCACTGGAGAGTGCGGCGAGGCTCGACCCTCCCCAGATGGCCGCGAGGGCGGCCTCGCGTTGGGCTGGGCGAGGCTCGCCCTCGTCGACCATAGGGAAGGCCTGACCTCGCCAGATCCTGCGAGGTCGTGCCTCACCCAGCCAAGCTCGAGGCCGCCCTCGTAGCCATCCCGCGAGGGCGGCCTCGAGCTGGGTTGGGTGAGGGTCGAGTCTAACTAGCCATGGGTGAGGCTCGACCTTGCCAGATCTGGCGAGGCTCGCCTTCGCTAGTGGCCGACGGGGCGAGCCTCTCCATTGGCCGGCGGGGCTCGCCGGCCTTGGCCTCCAGCCAGTCGCCAGACCGGCGACTGGTTAGAGGAAGAAGAAAGGGAAAGAAAAAATAAATAAAAATTGAATTTTTTTGAAAAATATTAAAATATTATTAAAAGTTGTCTACGTTATCGCCGACGATGCCACGTAGGCCAGCCGGCGTCCATGTCAGCAAAATCCGTCCAAACTTAGTCGGAATGACTGAATTGGCATAAAAACAAAAAAAAGGTCTAGGACTAAATTGATATCATAAAAAGGTTTAGGACTAAATTGGTATCTATGTAAAAGATTTATGACTTTTTTGACACTTTTCCCGTTACTTTGATGATTAATACATTTGTGACGAAAGCAAAAGAAAGCCATCGGGAAGATTAAGAGCGCACGGAAACGGTCGCGAGATCAGATTAAAAGGGGGATGATTAGCATATTGTTTAGATGGTAAGTTGGAGAAACAAGTGGGAGGAGGATCCATGACTTTTCAACTTTGATGTGCTGCATGGACATCATTTGCAGAAAACGAAATCGTTTCTCAGTTCACCTGCATACCGCAGAAATCTGAACGGGGGGCCACCTTCATCTGAATCTCTGGAGAGAATTCTTAGCTAATCTCGACGTCAACAAGACGCAACGCTCGGCGACGAAAAGGTCAAGCTGTCTGGTCCTCGAATCAGAAAGGAAGAAGTTGTCGCGGGTGTAAAAATCCGAAGGGCCCCCCAAGAACTAGAGAATTCCGCCCTCGCGTATAGTGAAGTGCACTAGGCTCCGGCTCCCTCTCAATCACACACTTGTGCTGCGCAACACAACAACACTCTTGTCTATTTCAAGCCTCCCTCTGCTCGAAGTCATCACATCTCCCCCTCTCTCCCCCTCCTGAACGTTCTAGAATCTCTCTCTCTTTCTCTCGAGGGTTAAACCATGGCGAAGACCAGGAGCTTCCAACTATCCGCGGCTCCGGCGACGGTGCTGGCGCATCTGCTGGTGATAGCGGTGGCGACCCTCGTCCTCGTCTGGCTCCTCAAGTTCCAGGACGGCGTGGCTCTGTCGTCCCACAACAAGCAGAAGATTTTCAACGTAAGCACACGCTTCCCGCTTCTCTTGTTTTGTTGAAGGAGATGCGGTTGGCGCCGTTCAATTCATTCCGCTCCATGATTCATTTGCATGCTCTGTTCTTTGTTGCAGCTGCATCCGCTCCTGATGGTAATCGGATTCATTCTCGTCGGAGGAGAAGGTGAGGACCACCTGTCCTTGATGTCTCGGGGGTTCTTTTCACAATCATAAATGTTTTCTTGCGTGAAAATCTGCTATTTTTTTTTTTATGGGGATATCAATTGAGTGGATATGAGCTTTGCCAAGTCGCTTTCCATATTTCCTTACAAATCATTCGCATAATTACTCCAATAAATTCGGGACCTATGTCACTATGTGAATACCTTAGTCTCTCCGAAATCCGGGATTCTAAGGGAATAGATTACGAACACTGATCGTCGATGCAGCTATTATGGTGTACAAGACGATTCCGGCGAAGCGGGAAGTTCAGAAAACGATTCACATGATCCTCCACTTGATTGCTCTCCTGCTTGGGAGTCTGGGGGTCTATGCGGTCTTCAAGTTCCATAATGAGCTCCATATTCCCAACTTGTACACCTTGCACTCCTGGCTTGGCATCACCACCATCTCCTTGTTCGGTCTGCAGGTAATCAGCACATGAAAGGATATGAAGTCTTGATTACTCTTGATTTCGCCGTCGAGTAGGAGACGTACTAATTAGAACACTCACCGACTGTTGGGACTGTTTTTCCCCCTTTTCAGTGGCTGGCTGCTTTCTTCTCGTTTGTATTCCCGAAAGCGAACAACTACGCAAGAGACTCCTACTACCCGTGGCACATCTTCGTGGGGTCGGTCGTCTTCTTCCTCGCGATTTGCACGGCCGAGGCCGGTCTGGCCGAGAGATTCATCTTCCTGAAGCTCCAGCATGGTCGACAGGCGCTCATCATGAACTTCACCGGCCTCCTGATCTTTCTGTTCGCCGTCTCTGTCGGCCTCTCCGTCATCCTTCCCCGCGGTTAATAGCGACGGCCTTAGCCGGATCATGCCTTGATGTCCATTTTCAATGTAATGCCAATAGTAATAGTGTCTAAGTTCAGAATGCTCTAGGGCAATTATATTTCTTTTGAATCTTTTCAGGATTATTATAGTGTGGAAAAGGGATTAATGTATTTTGTCCATAGCACTGGCCCATACGATTAGGTGTGTTTTACTGTACTCATACCCTTATGATTTTCGAGTGATGTTACTATTGGCCGAAGCAGGAAAAATTGATCTTCTTGAAAACATCTCGCATGCTGTATCAAGACGGAAATGACTGTTCAGGAGTAGGCATCATATGGCACTTTCAGTCGCTTCCGACAAGATGGCCATCGACTCAGCAACCACCATAACCATATTATAGCTTCTTTCTTTAAAGTGATCTTGTGGACGGACGGCCCGAAATACTCGTTAGGTGAATTTAATAAGAAAATGTCTAGGTACATCATGAAATTTACTCAGTGCATCGGAAACATTTTCTTGTTTAGTTACTTTTCTTTATAATTGAGGGGCACAATTGTAACTAATTGACTATCTGGAGGGCAATTAGCACAGCAACGAATCGTCGCGGCTATTCGCTTAAATCCGGGTTCCCCGAGGTAGAAATCAAATCCACAACCGTTGGTTCCTGAGCCGAGAGTATAAGGACGCTTTTTATCACCGGATCAATCGCAGGTGAATTCTGTTTAAGGGGTGCGCCTAGTGATAGGGACAATTTCTAAGAATGACCGACTTGTGTCATAATCATATTTCAAGGTTGTGAAAAAGGATAAGTGATAATTGATGGTAGAACGAGTGGTTAAAATCATCACATTATTAGTGGAGACTGCTTGTAAGTAATGATTACATTAGAAATGTCATAAAGAACCATCCGATTCAAAACTCAAATCGACTAGAACGAAAAAATTGGGGTTTTTACGGATCAAGTTTCCCTTCGATTAGGATAATAAATAAAGTACCGAGCTTCTGATGGTTTGGTTCAATTTCGAGTTACAAATCCGAATTGAACCGAAACACATTACTGAATTTGATATTTTTTTTTCCGTAGCCATCTTGATTGTCTCGACCCGATTTAAACATGATACACTTTCCGATAACATTCCCACATGCCGAACGCAACTGAGACGCAACTTCTGTATCATCCTTTGGACTTGGATTTCCACCAAAATGATGTGGCAATGGCAAAAACAGGATGGTAATGCGAACCCGTGCATGGTGTGGAAAGATCTGTCGTCCTTTGAAGCTTCCTACTGTCCTGTCCTTGTTCCGTCGATAATGCAAAAGTACAGTTGGAAACTTCCTCGTAGTTGCTTCACTCTTCGCTGATGCATATCAACTAGCTTTTCATGGATCATTTGGCTGACCAAACCGTGGCGAATGGCCAAATGTTTTCTTCCATTCTTACACCTTCACAAAAAGCAGACCGCTGATGCATAAACTTGATGAAGTAATCAAAAAGTATAAAAAAGAACGAGAACCCAACTCGACTTGACCCGATCTGATCCGAACCGTTCTTTCGGTTCGAGTTCTATGCTGGTCAGGATTTGGTCGGGTCACAAAAAAACATATAGATAATGACACTAATGGTCCCTGAATCTTGGCCTAATATGTAACGTGGTTTCTGAACTTTAGCCTGACGTGCAATGTCGTCCATGAATTTTTAATTTGTTAATTGTGGTCCCTGAACTTTTATTAAATGTTCAAATTAGTCCTTAGACCATATAGAATTATCCAATGTTAATCCTTCCATTAATTTAAATTTAGGGACACCATTAAACATATTCATATACACACAATTGAACAAATTAAAAGTTCGGACGTAATGGGCTAAAGTTCAGGGACCGCGTTGAACAAAGTAAAACTTCAGGGACCACGTTGCACGTTAATCGAAATTCAAGATCATTCGTGTCATTTTCCCAGTAATAGATGCCTTTAATAGTTGGATAGGGCATGGTATCAGTGGACACTCGAACCGAATTGGCTTGTCGACACCATTGCGGTTGTGCATTAAATATTATTGGTTGGTGGGTGCTGTAAACTCGTGCTCAAAGTCGCAAGGAGCATTTAGGTGGGTTTCATCTGAGCTGGTGGTGTTGGGTGTCCAACCCAGCAGATCTTAATTCCTAACGTAGCCGGACGGTGTTGGCGTTACAGTTGGTATCTCACCAGTGTGGAAGTTAACGAAACAAACGTTTGGGAGTCGCGAAAGATCCAAACTTTCCTAGGATCCGACAGCAAGTGTGTCCCCAATGCCCAGATTGGCATCAACAAAGCAACCCGCCTTTTTTTTTCCTCTCTTTTTGGCTTTTACCATGCCCAAAGATATTGCTAAAATATATTTCGTGGTTTCCAAGATATAGTAGAATAATATATGACATGTCGCTATTTAATTGGTTAATCATAAAAGTGCACCTTACACTTTTGGCTGGGTTTTCATTTTCTTTTTGGGTTTTGTTCTTGTGTTGGCAATTAGAGATTGGGGGTGGGGGGGATTTGGATTGATCTGTCCATTCAATGTAGATATGAACGTTTGGGGAGTCGCCACTAAAGTGATAGGCCGAGTTGGTTAGGCATTTCTTTGACGCCGGTTGAAGCCCTCCGTGATTATATGTTCGAATCCTTGACCATCCCTCGATCTGAGAAAATCTTTTAGAGAAGACCATCACGCAACTGTCTAAGATCTCGAGTTAAATTTTGACGGTCCCTTTCGTTCATCGATAGGTTTTCCCGATTTATATGTCTCGTAACGTGGGGAGTCGTAGGATATAGTATCGACTGGACACCATCCTCTAAACAATCACGCGCTTAGCTTAAATGACGGGTCATCATTAGACTCCAACATTACATTGATTAGAAAAAACTTTGCTCTAATTATTGACACCTGATTTTTTGTCCAAATTTTCAATTTTACATAAAAGCACAAAAATTAGGATTAGGAGCCTTGGCCATGCTTAGGAACCTATTTCTAAACAAGAAATCATTTGTTCTAGATTTTTCTTTGATTTTTTTTAATTTGTGTTGTTAAAAATAGGAAAAAAATAAAGAAAAATACCAAATGGAATTTAAAAAATTCCAAAAAAAAATACTCATTAGTCTTATTTTAATTCCAATTTTTATCCCTGAAACGTCAATTTTGCAAAATTCCAATCGGGAATATGTTTTCCCCAAATTTAGGCAATTTCATATACTAATTGAACAAAAATACAATTAAATCATTTTTAGGAATTTTTGAGCTATAGTGTCTTCACAAAAATTGATCCTGGGACCTTGAATTGTATATTGGTCGGTTCAATTTCACAATTTGATTAAAATATCCAAAAGCCCCAAAATTAATTGAAAATTAGGGATTTTAGGACCCAAATTGGGGATTCCATTCAATTGGACATTTTCGATAAAAAAAAAATTATAGCTTTCCTAAGGGTAATCGAGCATGGGCAATTCAATTTTGGCCTCAATTCTGCAAAATTAGGTCATTTAGATTCTCAATTGAATGAAAACCCATTTTACCCGAATTGAAATTTAGGGTTTTTAGGCTTAATTGTGATAAAAATTCAAATCGATCCCTTATTTTAGAGCAAAATGTGTCAAGAAGTCTAAATGTGGGTTAAAATCATGAAATTGGGACAAAATGGGGTCAAATTTGTAAAATTAGACCAACCCGGATCTGCTGGATTGGTTGGAACCGACCCGACCCAAGTTGGTCTTCTTCTTCACCCGGTCTGGGCACGCGCGGGAAAAGGGACTGAAAAAGTTGATTAACAACCCCGCCCTTTTGCCGACTTGGATTTCCATTTCTAGCATGTGGAGAATGAAATGGACAGCTGTCCACCCTCAACCGATCTAACTGACTGGGGAGTTGGTTAGTGCCCGGAACGGCCCCGGGGAGGAGGACAAAACGAGGGGAAAAACCAGTTCCCACAGAGAAGACCTGCTCGACAGAACTTCCAATTTAGGACCTTCCCGGCGAAGCGGAGGTCACCATCTTGAAGAGGAGGTGAAGGAGCATCAGTATAGCATCCTCAGCCGGTTCGGAATTTCAGATTCAAGCTCCGATGAAGAAGGTAAAAGTCCTTCACAATCAATTGTCATGTGTTTGATGAAATTCCAGAATGAGTGTCTGAGATACTTTGAGCTTGATTATGTGATTTCCCTCTTGATTTTGTGATCATTGATCCCTTAAACACATTTTTGATCGATTACTTTCTTGTTTGATGTATTTTGTATCATGATTGTGCATAAACCATGAGTCGGTTCCCTAAAACCACCTCGCCGGAGCAACCAAGCCTCGCCAGAGCCCCTTTCCACGGCCAATGGCCATCCAAGTTAGTTTTCTTCAATCTATCTGTTGTTTCGATAATTGTTTTGGATGTTAAAATAGCTAGTTAGATTAGAATTGTTCAAATTGCTAGTTTGTTTTAGGTATGACCAGTTTCAGGATAGGTGTTTTGTAGGCTTAGTATTAGCCGGCCGGTAGTGGTCCGGCGGCGGTCCGGTGGGTTTAGGTGGTTAGAGGGCAATGGGTAGATGGCATAGGATCAATAATAGTGGCTGGAATACAATTAGAGGGTCATCGGAGATTGGGTTGAAATCATGGTTTTGAAAACGTAGTTTAAATAGTAATGCACACCAGGTGTTCGACAAAATGCCCCAATGAACAATGCCTAAAACGGCGCCGTTTCGGCACCATTCCCTCCGGAGATCTGATCGGCGCCGGTCAGGCTAGTCCAATGTGGTTGGACCGGACTAAATCGGTCCAGTTTGGTCCTTGAATAAAAAAGTTAATAAAAAATTAGGAAAATTTAAAAATTAAGAAAAAAATTTTAAAAAATTGAAAATCAGAAAATCCTAAAAAATTTAGAAATTTCGGGAAAATTCAATAAAAATAATAAAAAAATCCAGAAAAATCGAGAAAATCGAGAAAATTCAGGGAAATTTTAGAAACTAAGAAAAATTCTGAAATTTAAAAAAATTCAGAAAATTAGGGAAATTCCAGAAAACCCATAAAAATTAGAAAATTTTCTAGAAAAACAGAAAAATTCAGAAATTCAGAAATTTTATAAAATGTAAAGAAAAATTCATAAAATTTTAAAAATCAAAATTTGGATTTTTGGAAGGTGAGAAAGTCAAATAAAACTTTTCCCGAAAAAAATCAAAAATTTCAAAAATTCACATAATGACTCAAAACCCTTGTGACCACCCATTTTGAGTGAAATTAGAATTTTTTGGGTTGCACAAGTGGTTCTTTGAATACTCCTTAGGGATGAAAAGGGGCTTAACCTCTTAAAAAACCCTAAAAAAGGTTTAACCCCAAAAGAGGTCCTAACCCCTAAAAACCCTAAAACCCCAAAAGCCAACACAATCCTTAAAAATGAACAAGCCTATAGGGCTTCATTAGAGTTTGATTGTTTTGATTGATTTTCATTTTAGGGACGATATTAGGAATGTTGTTTGTGATTTGAATTGGTTTTGCATTTCCTTATTGATTGATTCTTTCCTGTTTAGAATAGTTAGGATTAGTGGATGGGCCTTGAGAAATCGCATGACACGTTAGATACGTCCAATCGTTTTAGATACCGAAAAGGCGTTAGGGATTTCGAACCGGGATCGTTAACGTAATCAAGTCCCTTTACCCATGAAATCTCTAGTTCGCAGAGATCAGGATAGTTCTCTCCTATCTCGATTAGGTTTCTAGTTAATCATTAAGGACTAGTAGCGACTCTAAAACGAAACATAGGCTAAATAGAAAACAAAATAACAAATACCTGCCATCTCGTAAGGTATGGTCAGGGAGAGATTCTTGTTCATTTAATACTAAACATATTATCATTCATAATGAACGAAAATACCTCCTAGTGTGCTTCGGTAGAGAAAAGCGCGGCGCGACACTAACCTCCATAGCTCAAAACAACAAATGAATCATGGTATATGGTTTCTAAAACAAGACAATAAATCGTTTAGGAAAAATCAAAGTGATGAAGTGCATTATGTCTTTAAAACCCCAGCTTCTAACACTACATCCTATCATGAAAACGACACTTTAGCAGCAGATTCAATTCCTCTTGCAATCATGTCAATAGAAAGGATTGAGGCTTCTTGGGTCGTTTATCTGCAACTGCCACTCATTCTCTTTCCCACTTTGATCCTTGTTTACTTCGTCAATGAATCCAGAGAAGTACCCGGATTGAACAAATTCATCATGAGCACAGACCTTGGTCTGTTGATTCATAGGAGATAGATTGATGGAGGCCTCCAAAAGGGCCTCCCAGTCCCAACCGCTGCCCTTCTCGCCGTCTTCAAGCTTGATCAATGGCTCCCTTTCGTCTTCCTCAGATTTCACCACCATGGCATTGTCCTCGAATTTCTCCCACTGCGTGCTGATGATTGTGACCCCCCTCGGCATGAACTCGCCGTCGTCTTCGGTCAGTGTCGACCTCGACTTTGCTATGGATGAAGAGGGCGACACGGTCAAGGAGGAAGAGGACGAGGACAACGACTGATCCGTCAATTGCCACATCCCGTTGAGGAAACTCTCGAGCGCTTCGATCTGAATTTGCGGGATTCGGTCGGTGAACGGATATTCGTACGGCCCGCATAGGTCCCGCCCCTTGCACCAATCATAGAATTCACTAAGCCGTTGGCCTTGGAGAGCCGCTTTCTTGTAGATGCCAAAGGCAGAGATGCAATTCCTGTGTGGCATGTGAAAGAGGTTCTCTAGCAACACCACAATGTCTCTCCTAAATGTGGTGTAGCAAATGAAGCTGTCGCGAATTATGTGTTTCATCGCCGATTTTACGATGAAGCTCCTCGCTGCGGATCCAATCGGCCTGCAGTCCATGACGCGGTCGATCAGACTCTGTAGCTGCGGCAGAATCTCTAGCAACTTCCCCACTTCCCTCATCCTATCAGGCAGATTTTCGGGCAATTCGTCATCTTCGACGAGTATAGTTTCGATAGAGAAGATATTGAGAGCTTCGTCGAGGAGCCCGGCATAGGACCTGATGAAATTGGTGTAGTCCTCGGACGCCGAGGAGGAGGCATCCCGAAAGTGGCATGGGTTCAGAGAGAGCAATCCGGCGGAGCGGGTCCACAGCAATTCGGACCGTAAAGGGCTGTCTTCGGGGAGAGACCGGAGAAGACGGTGGACGAGGAGCAAGCACTTGAGTGCAACACGCCAGCAGTGCGTATTCCTGAACCGGCGGGTGAAGCCGAGGGAGAACGCGCGGAACGAGCAAGGGGAGATGGAGAAGATCTTCAGGAGCTCGTGCACATACCGCTCGGGGAGCGGGAGGTCGTCGGGGGCCGTCGCCTTGACGAGTATGAGATCGACGTTGCAGAACCCGCCGATCGTGGCGAACTTGGCGTAGCTGACGCTGCCGTGCTCCTTTAGGGATGTGAATAAACGTTGGAATCGCCTGTGCATCTTGTGTGTCTCTGTGTTAAGAGAGAGGGAGAGATTGTAACTTAGGTGAATGAAATAAGGTGTTGGTGGTGGCGAGCAGATCATATTTTGTTGCTTAGGAGAGACCTAGGAAACAACGAAATGAGTTGGCGGTGGACACTAACCTTAGTGGATTACGATGGATGGCTGTTCGTTTGCAAGCTTACAATCTCTTTGTTCGGATCAATAAAAGCAAGGGACAACAAGAAAGGCCCAAAAAACTTAGATGTCATACAAGAGGAGAGCTTGATATCATGCTGGAAACTGTAGCCCGAAAACTTAATTTTTAGCGTGGTATTCTAGCCTAACTCACGCTAGATATTGTCCGTTTTAACCCATATTACACGAGCCTCGAGATTTTTGTCCTTTAGGGTATCGATGCCCGAGAGTTCGCATATTCTAATAGCAATCTTCACCCGAAGGAGTTCCGATGCTAAAGCATGACGTCATACTAGGTATCTGGTTTCGGTTTCATATGTTTAACCCGGCGATACCCTCTCCTTGTTCGGTGTGTGATTCAGTTCATCTCTGCGTCACTCGTCATTCTCATTCTAGATGTCTGTTAGCAGTCGCACTTTGATCGGACCCTCTCGCTCTATACTTTTATCCTTAGGCTTCCTGTCGTGTATGGAGAAAAATAAGGTCTTTGCACACAAAATGTTTAGAGAGAGATGAAGAGTTCCCACTTCGTTTGGCTATGTGTGCTTGGATTCATTCATTTCGCACAATGTTCCATAGCATGACCAACCAGGGCCAAAGCCTATTGATTAGTACGAAAAATTGGATTCGACCGTCCCTCAGTTTGTTTCATTTGGTTCCACACGTGAAGTGTGAGTCTCCATTGCACAATCTAATTTGCAGTGGAGTGGTGATGGTGAGTAGTTGCAGTGCTGGCCATAAGGCTTCAAGACAGAGAGTCAAACATGGGCTACACACCTAATAAGGAACACACAATGAGAATACGAGATATGTATGGTGAAAGACCGCACGAATTTGACATGATTCAAACAAAAGTCGGTTTCTCGGCTCACCCTCGTTAGATTAGGTCGTTACGTGCCTACTAGCTTCGTGCAGTATTCCAACACACTCCTGCCGGAAAGGATCATGCTCTAATTTCATATTGTGACGGATTAGTGAAACTTGCTTAAGGTATCGTTTGCTTTGACTCATCTCATTTGGAGTCTCGTGGTTTTGTACGGTGATATATTGCCAAACACTTTTCTAGGAAATCACCTATCCTGGTACTTACTCAAGAGAGCTTAGTATTCGAATTTCTATGCTAAACCCGATCATTATACTAAAAGGTATATGTTATGAGTTAGTTTCAATTATAATAGATATACACTTTTCCCTGGTTCAATGTGTAACGACTCGTTTCCTCATTTTTATCATTCTAGAAATTTGCCAAGAGCCACACTTTTGTCGAGATCTCTAGCGCCATCGATCACTTCCTACCCTTGCTCGATGAGGGCGGGGAGAGATCATTGTATATATATTCACAGTTTCAATCTCCCCTTTTCGGCCCAGGTTCAGGGGTCCCGCTGAGTTGGAGTGCCGCAACGAAATTTTGGAAAAACTCATGCTCCAAAATAAATATAACTTTAAGGAGTCGCCAGCAATCAATTTTTATAAAAAATAAAAAAAAAAAGACTAAGTTGATTGGACACCCGGGTACATGTGAAGATATTAGGCTGTTTGCGAAAATCAAAGAATCAATAAACCTATTATCACATGTCTTTGTCGAAATATTTTAATGTAATAAGAGGGGGGGAATTGTCATATCGGTCTTGAACTCATTGTGCATGTTAAGAAATGCTTCGAGTTTGAACCCGTGAACGAAACTCGGCCCGAGATGAATTGCGAGAAAGCCCGGCCATTTAAAAGGAAAGTCCGCTAACAAATGGCAATCAAATCGTTCTGGAAGTCGGGCAAAAGATAAAAGGGGGCTCCCATTTATATAATGCATATATAACTATTCGGACTGCGGTTGTTGACGAGCGTGGGCTGTGGGCAATTCGATCCGAATTGCATCCCGCGTCTTCTTCGTGCATGAAATCGGAGAAGCCTTCGAGTGATTGGGTGTAATTGGGAGCTGAAAAATGCTTAGCGTGTTTGGGTGATTCGAGTGTTATTGTAATCTCCATTGTATCGCTTGGATTATCACGTAAATCTAGTGTTCGATATATTTTCTCGCTCTGTCTGTTTTACCGTTGGATCTCTTGCTTACGCAACGGTACGGATATCAATTTAGTTTCCCAAACTTTCCGATTTCGCCAGTTTAGTTCTAAATATTTGCGCGAAGTTCCAATGTGGTCATTCTGACCTATTTTCACGGGAACTCGCTGACGTGGCGGTGTGCCACGACCACCATGTCAAAGTAGGTCGAGACGAGATCGCCTTGATTTCGAGGAGGCCGTGTTTTTTCGCGCCGCGCGGGAGGGTCGAATTCGCTGTTGCAGAAGCGGGTAGAGTTTGAACGGGGTGAGATTACAGCACCCCGTGCGGGACAATTTCTATGGACTCTTTGCCCCTTTTCGAAGGGGACAAATCCACTCTAATTTCTATAAATTTAAGGAATTGCCCATTATAACTTAACAATTTGCAACCGAGTCCCTAAATTTTCTATTAATTTTCTCGTGGGCCATGAGGTGATGAACTTTGATAGGCCTGTCCCATACTTGCGACCTTGTTCTCTAGCCTCTTTCATACGCCAAGATGATGTTTTGGTTCCCATGCCTAAAAAAAGTCCCTTTTGCACTACGAGCACGACAAAATCCACCCCCGCAATCGAAAAAGCCGTACACTTATTATGCAGCGGTCAATTCAGTCCTAAACATTTTAATTTTAATCAATTTAGTTTTAAATGTTTTGACAGTTTTTTTAATACAGTCCTTCCGACTAATTTTGATATGAAATCGCTGACACGGACTCCGGCCGTCTCACGTGGCACGGCCGGTGCGTACGTGGACACTTTCTTTTTTTTATAAATTTTTCGATTTTTCTCTTATTCGTTTCCACCGAGGGTGGTCGGCGAGAGTGTGCAGGCAGTCGCCTGTGGTCGGTAAGGTCGCCGCCCGCCGGCCATCATCGAGGCCCCGGTGACCATTCCGGGAAGATGAACGATGAAAAAAAGAAAAGACAAGAAAAGAACCAAAAAGTTTATAAAAGAATATTAAAAAAAAATGCCAAAATCATTATTAACGACAGCGCCGGCCGTGCCGTATAAGACGATTGTCATCAGCGAATTCCAGCCAAAATCGGTTGGAACGACTATTTTTAAACAATCCATACACGACCCGATCCAAATAATACGAGTAAAAGAAATGGGTTTCATGATCTACTTTAACTCCTCTGTTATATCGCTAGCATACCTAACTTACGGAATGGTCTTGCCATTTGTTAGCGGGCACTAGACGGACGAAACGGACTAAATCGACATTGAAACTCGATAGTGGCCAGTCACATATTTGCGACCTTTATCGTTCTCTGCCCTCTTTCACACGCACGAAGACGACATTCCACGCGGTCGATGACTGGTTTTTGGGCCCGATGCCTAGCATACGGTCGAACAGGACAAAACCCACTTCACGTTTTTATCAAAATCTTGTTATAAAGAAAAAAATGTTCTTTAGGGTTAAAATTAGCTCCATTAAGATACCATTCCCCTCGTACTTTGGTCGGGGTTAGCGAGATTCGTACTCTCTCGTTTTTTTATTTATGTTAGTTCGGGTCTTCGTCGGAGATATTATTATTGCGATAACGGTATCGCTCGGACCGGGTCTTAACGGGAGAGTCGCCTTGAAACTGGGCGAGTCGTGTTGCCGTGCCGTGTGTCGGGGTCGAACCGGCTGCGACGAGTGGCGCCGTTACGAACCGCATTCCTTCGTTCCGGGTCGAGAATTTTATTGGATGTTTAATCCTCTAATTTGATGGGTGTTAATATCACCGGGAACCTCAAAATGGTATACCTGTAATAAATTACCCGAAATTGATTTTTTGATCAGCAAAAACCTCAAACCGGTACACTTGTGACAAATATTCCTTCCGTGAGTATCTGCTAAATTTTACCATCAAATTGTTAAGTTGAATGACACACGGCATGTTGACGCCAGTTTAAGGTTTTACCCTCTGTTTGTCACAGAGTAACAGATGTATCGATTTGTGATTTTTCGTGATATTAATCAAATTTGACGGAAATTAATGAAAGGTAAATTTATCACATGTGTATTAATTTGAAATTTTTAATAATTAAAAAATTAATTTTAAATAAATTTATTATAAAATTTGTCAGTTTGAGATTATTTTTCGAGGTATTATCTCATCATTCAGTCGTTGGTCGCCACATATTTTCCAACGCTGACTTTGTCAAACTTGTGCGCACGGTAAAGATCGACCCAATAGGTCCAATCCAAATCCACAGTCGGTCAAACTCAATTCACATGTCTCCGTCGTCGCCGTTGAAAAGTCGTCCCCACTTGTCTCTCTCTCTCTCTCTCTCTCTCCTCCCCCCACTCCGAAAGCCGCCATTGTTATACCTTCGCCCCCCGCCCTCACACTCAGCCCCGCCCCTCACAGTCCCACACGCCCACCATCTCTCTCTGTGACTCGACCATGTCTCTCTCCCTCCTCCTCCTCCCTCTCCTCCTCGCCATCCCCGCTCCGCCGCCGGCCCTAGCTCAGGCCGCCGCCGCCAACAACATCTCCTCCTTCTCGTCCTCCGACTCGCCGTGGGGGCCCGGCCAGGACCGGATCCTCCTCTCCCCCAACGCCGTCTTCGCCGCCGGCTTCCAGCCCCTCCTCCCGAACGCGTCGGCCCTGTTCACGTTCTCCGTCTGGTACCACGGGCTCTCTCCCCTGACCGTCGTCTGGTCCGCCAACGCCGGATCTCCCGTCAACGCCTCCGCCTCCCTCGTCGTCACCCGCGGGGGCCAGCTGTTCCTCAACTCCTCCGGCGTCAACCGTTGGGGGACGAACGCGACGGCCGCCGGGAACTCCTCGGTGCTCTCGCTGCGCGACGACGGCGACCTGGTGTTCGGCGCTTCTTGGGGGAGCTTCCGCTTCCCCGGAGACACTTTCTTGCCGAGTCAGCCCATGAACGAGACCAAGCTGTTCTCCAAGAACGGTCGGTTCTCGTTCGATTCGGCGAGTTTGCTCTTCAACGGCACCGAGGCTTACTGGACAGCTGGGGGTAATAATTTCCTGAATCTGGATGATAAGGGGATGATTAGCCAAGAGAACGGCCAGTCCATCCTCTCCGCCGACTTCGGCGACGCCGTCCCGCGGCGGCTCACGCTCGCCGATGACGGCAATCTGCGACTGTTCAGCTACTCCCAGGGACAGTGGACGATGGTGTGGCAGGCGATGCCGGAGCTCTGCAAGATCCACGGCCTCTGCGGCCGCAACTCGATCTGCATGAGCGACGGCGCGAACGCCACCTACTGCGTTTGCCCGCCGGGGTTCCGCTCGTCCGCCCCTGGGAACTACGAGTGCGAGCGGAAGATCCCGGTGGCGAGACCGCAGAGCGCCAAGTTCCTCCGCCTCGATTTTGTCAACTTCACCGGCGGGCTGAACCAGACGAACCAGCAGGCGACGAACTACTCCGATTGCCTGTCCAAGTGCTTGTCGGCGAGCTCGAATTGCGAAGGCTTCATGTTCAATTACGACGGGACCGGCCGCTGCGTCCTACAGCTGGGGCAGCTCCTGTACGGTTACTGGTCGCCGGGGACGGATACGGCGAACGCGATGTTTCTGATGGTGGACCAGTCGGAGACCGACGAGAGCAACTTCACGGGGCTGACCACGGTGCTCGAGACGACGTGCCCGATCAACGTGACGCTCCCGTTCCCGCCGGACGAGTCGAACGCGACGACGAGGAACATCGTGATCATCTGCACGCTGTTCGCGGCGGAGCTGATCACCGGGATGGCCTTCTTCTCGGCCTTCTTGAAGAAGTACATCAAGTATAGGAACATGGCTCAGACCCTGGGGCTGGAGCTGCTCCCCGCCGGCGGGCCCAAGAGGTTCACGCTGGCCGAGATCAAGGCCGCCACCAAAGGGTTCTCGGACCAGATAGGGAGGGGCGGGTTCGGCGACGTGTACAAGGGCGAGCTGAACGACAAGCGGGTCGTCGCCGTCAAGTGCCTCAAGAACGTGGCCGGCGGCGACGCCGAGTTCTGGGCGGAGGTCACGATCATTGCCCGGATGCACCATCTCAACCTGGTGAGGCTGTGGGGGTTCTGCGCCGAGAAGGGGCAGCGGATCCTAGTGTACGAGTACGTACCCAACGGGTCGCTCGACAAGTTCCTGTTCCGGTCGGGCCGCCCCGCGGAGCTGGGCGGCGAGACGGGCGAGGTCGCCGACAATCAGAAGCCGACCCTCGACTGGGGGGTGCGGTACCGGATCGCCCTCGGGGTGGCCCGGGCCATCGCGTACCTGCACGAGGAGTGCCTCGAGTGGGTGCTCCACTGCGACATCAAGCCGGAGAACATCCTCCTGGGAGATGACTTCTGCCCCAAGATATCGGACTTCGGGCTGGCCAAGCTCCGGAAGAAGGAGGACATGGTGAGCATGTCCCGGATCCGGGGGACCCGCGGGTACATGGCCCCCGAGTGGGCCAAGACGGACCAGATCACCCCGAAGGCCGACGTGTACAGCTTCGGGATGGTGCTGCTGGAGATCGTCAGCGGGGTCCGCAACTTCGAGATGCAAGGGTCGCTGCTGGACAGCGAGGACTGGTACTTCCCCGGGTGGGCGTTCGACAAGGCGTTCAAGGAGATGAAGGTGGAGGACATACTGGACCGCCAGATCAAGCACGCCTACGACGACAGGGTCCACTTCAAGCTCGTGGACCGGATGGTGAAGACGGCGATGTGGTGCCTCCAGGACCGGCCGGAGCTGAGGCCGTCGATGGGGAAGGTGGCCAAGATGTTGGAAGGGACGGTGGAGATCATGGAGCCGCGGAAGCCCACCATTTTCTACTTAGGAGATGATTAGGGTTATTATATAGCACAAGAAAAATGAATTAAGTATAGCAAAACCGGGTCCTTAAGTGACGTACGAAATTGCAAAATATATCATGCTTCAAATGATATTACGATATGAAAGACTCCCTCCGCCCGCACTGTTTATGTTTTATGAGATCGTTATACAATGACAAAATAAAAATGTGTATTTTCATTATTAGTTTTAACTTAGATTTAATAAATACGATCGTGTCGGTATTCGTGTAATAATGGAGATGAGATGAGAAAGGATGCCGCGTGCCACGTGCCCCCAACTTGGGAGATGGGTCATCTACAGGACCGAGAAGGATGACAGACTGGAAGATATAAAGTAGATTGATAAATAGAATATAATTATTTATTTAATTGTGAAATTATTATTTGACATGGTGGGGTGAGGCAAAAAAAAAAAAACTTAGGAGCTCATACTCACAATCGTAGTAGAGAGAAGCTCCAAAGAGACAAGTGAGGGGGAAGGAGACCCTTTATATACATGTACCCGACTTATTGTATTCGTAGATCTCTCCTCAATCTAACGTTGGAGATTATATCTTTCCATTATCAACTACCCGCATTTACAATATTGCCTATTTCAGGAATATTCTAGAATACATTTGGACATGGACTCTTCGAGATCTGCCCATCCTTCATGGATTAGTTATGGTATTTTATTTAGGACCCCTGAGATCGATTTATTTCTCTGGCCGTGACAATTGATTGCCAAAATCGATTTTCTCATAATAAACTTTAAAAAATTGTAAAATTTCGGTGGGAAAAAAAATAAAAAAACCAAATTACTTTCCTAACCAAAAGAAATTGAAATTGCTACATATACTAAGATATTCTATCAAAACTTTCTAAGCGATGTGGCAAGTTGGGAATAAGTATTGAAAGGTAGCGCTCACGAATTTAATGGTTAACTTCTTTAAACATACATTAAGATTTCTTAGCACGTGTAGCATTGAAAGAAACTGCTAATCATCACCATGAGTACATTTTATGGAGATTTCAAAAATATGAACACATATAATGTTATTTAGGTTAAGACGTCCCGTAAATCGAATGTGGTTCAATTCTATTTCCTCAGCCCTCTTATTTCATTAGCACAAATTTTAACGAAGATTGACTTAGAATAATCACAGTTCGATTACATTTCATTACAACTTTAGATTGGAATGACACGATAAGTGACACAACAAATTATTAGGGTTGTTAAAACAACCCGATCAAACACGACTCGATCCGAAACGACCCGAAAATTTTCGTATTGAGTCGGGTTAGGCCTTAACTTGTTTGGGTAACAATAAAGATAATTGGGTATTGTTTTGAATTTATTCGGCTCAGGTACCCAAGCACAACCCAAATCAGGAAACCCAAACAAGGAAACCCTGTAGATCTCTCTTCCACGTCTCTCTCACTCTCTCGCCTCTTCTGCGATTTCTGAGTCCTCCATCTAGGGCTTCCATAGCCTCGCCGAGAGCGAGACCATCGAGTCTGACGGCAACCGTACCAACGACATGACTAGCCCTGGCGGTGCCATGGTGTAGGGATTTATGCTCGGCTCGCGCCAATCTCGATCCGCGTCGCTCGTTCTCTCTTCCCCTTTTCCTACGGAAGCCATCGAGGGTCCGGATTGAAGCCCGGAAATGGCGGCCTCCAGACTGTCCTCGGCAATTGTGGCAGCCACGGCGGCAGCGTCCACGCTCTCGACCCGCGTGTACGCTGGCGCTCCCTTCCGCTTCCCGAGTTTCTATCCTTCCGCGCTGCCCCCGTCTCCTTTGTCGCAGCACGCCGAAGATGCCCCTTCCGGTGCGGCCTCGCCGACGAAGCCTAAGCCTCCCGAGGAGTCGCGAGGTGCAAGGTTCGACCCGGGAGGCATTGGAGAGTGGAGCGAAGGCCCTCTGCGAAATCAACAGCTCTCCTCATGCGAAGCAGGTCTTTAGTGTTTCTTTTTTTTGTTGTTTGATTGTTGTCTTCGTCTCGATTGTGGAGGAACCCGAGACGAGACTGGTTGATGGCGAGTGGATATGAAATGGGCGTGGAATGAATTTGGCAGATTTTTGAGGTGATAAGAAAGCAAGAACAGAATCGTTTGGCTGAGTTTGAAACACGGAACCCGACCTGGATAGACCTGACCCGATCACTTGGCTATATCTTGTTTGGGTCTTGTCTCGGGTCGGGCCGAGCACAAATGCCCAGTATTTTGAGTCGGGTCAGGTATCGTGAAAAACTCGACCCGACCCATTGACACCCCTACAAATTATAATCGAGAACATGCATGCAACAAATTATCGCTTTTGTAAAATAATAATAATAACGATATAAATAGCAATCGCTCTATCATGTATCATGTTGCCATCAATTTGCAATTTAATTCCGATTTATATCCTTAATAAAAGAGCCATAAAATGGCGAAAAAGAAAAAGAACAAGAAAAAGAAAAAGAGAAACGAGGCAAGCACGTTACTCCATTGCGCAAGGCAGTGATGCCAACCGGTGTCGTCCCAGACGCAGAGAATTCTCTCAAGAAACAGCAACGCTCGAAGGCTCCTCGCATCGCATCGTCGTCATCCTCCTCGACCTTCCGATCTTCTCCCCCACCGAGAGCTCCACCGCGCGTACGCTCCGGCGGTTGCCCCCTGGAAGTTGCGGCGGCGCGTCCATGGATTTGCGATCGCGGGGCCGGAAGCTGTCCTTCGAGATCCTGAGCCGGAGCGACCTCCTCCGGGAGGAGGGCGAATCCTCCTCCGCCGTCTTCCGATCGAACTCCGATCCCATGCCTCTCGATTCTCCGCGAGGCTCCGCGGTCTCGCCTCCTCGCGACAGGTCCGCCCGCCGGAGGCGGAAGCAACGGAGGAAGAAGCGGGCGGCCTGCTCGATCATCCCCGAGGACGGCGGTTCCTGCGGACCGGTCGATTCCGATTCCCGCGCGGACGGCGCCGAGCGCGCGGACGGCGTGTTTCTCGAGGACAGGAGCTCGGTTACTGGGGACGGCGGTGTCGGTTTGGGTGGGCGTGCGAACGGCGTGGAGTTCGATTGCAAGAGCTACAGTGCGGCGAGTTTGGGCTCTGTTACTCAGGTGGTGAGTGCGGAGAGTCAGAATAGCGTGTTTGTCGACGAGTGTAGACGCGGGGAGTTGAGGCAGAGAGCTGTGAATGGCGGAGAGGATAGAACAGCGGGAGGGGAACAGAGTTCGAGAGAGGAGAGCGGCATTGAGGTGAGCTCGATCTTGAAGGGGCGCAGTGAGCCGAATGGTAGCGTGCCACGGAAGTTGGAGACTGCCGAGTCCTTGGATTGGAAGAAGGTCGTGAAGGATGATTCGTTCGGTGAGTCGTTGATTGTCTTCTGCATTGAGTTTGTGCTGTCATTGTCGATGCGAAACAATCTTGTCAAATAGCATTCTGAAGAAACTTGCTTTGATACGGCTTCGAATTCGTTCAGCACGAGTCTAATTCATTATGGGTTAGAATTTTAGGAGTCGGACCTGCCAGAACTTGTTAAATCCTATTGATGAATGCTGAAATTTGTTATAACGTAATCTTCATTGGTGGGGTACCGGATATGTAATCGGAAAAAAGACTGTTTGTCTTGAGTCGAGGGATAACATATTGTGGCGTTGGTCTCTCCTATTCGTGTGAGTTATTTATTGACGTTTCCTGCATTCATGCTAACTGATAAGTATGTGGTACTTCCAATTAAGAACAATGCTTGCTTCGCAACACCTAATTATGGGGTGAGGGCTGTAAGGCACTTGGTTTATAGCCTTTTAGTGATATAGTTTGTACTACGGGAGCCATGGGCCTTTGTGGTGTGGTGACCACGAATATGGTGGATTTTTTTTGCTTTTGAGCTGGTTAATATGTTTCTAGTGTATCTAGATTCAGTGAATTGAAATGGTTGCACTGCTCCACATTCCTAATTTTTCTCAGCAATAGTAGGAGGAGCTCTTAGTTTCTCCTGTAGAATTGGTCTATTCTCCTTTTTTTCATGGTTTCGTCTGAATATCAGGTTGTTCCCTTCTTTTTTTCTCACACATGTCTATGCTGCCGTGTTCAGTACAGAAGTCACCAATGAGGTACTTTTTGGATGAAATGAGCAATGGAAATTCATTAAGGAATACAACTGCTCTCGGAAATGACAAAGAACGTGAGAGAGTATATGATACTATCTTCCGATTGCCTTGGAGATGTGAGCTGGTGATGTTCTCTTCCAGTTCCTCAATCTAAATAAAATCATGCTCTGTATGTGGTATATTGGTTTTGAGATTCCTTGCACTTGCTGGAAGGAATAGGTTCGAGTTCAAATTAAGATTGGATGTGGTTTCGTATCTTCTTCGACCGCGTCTCACTGGGTTTCAGTTGTTTCTGTATTCTAATTATCACCAATGAAATCTTTTAATGCATCATATCTTGGCTGCATCACGGCATTCTTGAAAATTAACTTAGAAATGAAAGACTTGAAACTAGAATAAATTTGCCTCCTTCCTTTTCTGTTCTTATTCTCACTTTTTTTAATCTGGATGGCACATTTGGAACCTCTCTTTGTTTAATCGAATAAACTTTTTCCTGACAGTTTAATTTCCAATGACACTTTTTCTATTTGATTTTCTGATATCAGCTGTAAGTATCAATATCTACTAGATGTTTCTAGAATACCTGTTATCTGTTTTAGCTTCACTGTGGTATAATATGCTAAAAAAAAATTCAAGATACTTTGATGAGTGGATAAAGTTATTTCTACAGCCTGCTGCCCTATTGATGACTTTCTTAGGAATGGTAATAACCACACAAAATAGGCTTTCTCATCGTGTAATTTTGTAACATCCCAAAGTCCCACATCGGATGGGAGAGACTCTGTGGAGTGATTCATAAGTAGACACCCACTCCCATATAGTCACCACTTTGCGCAGTTATTCAGAATATTCCTTTTAGGGCCTTGCCCACATTGAACAGGGTGGGTTGTTACAAGTAGTATCAAAGCAGGACCATCTCTAGTGGATGTGTGATCTGTGGATGAATTAGGCCAGTTTGTCATTCGACGAATCGGGGAGTGATCACCCAAGCAAGGGCACTCGGATAAGGTGCAGTTCCTGATAGACTTTTAGGATGACGGAAGGGGTAGGACGGGACTGGATTACACATTGTATAGGGGAGCATTGGGGAGTGATCACCCAAGCAAGGGCACTCTATTAAGGTGTGGTTCTTGATAGACTTTTAAGATGACAGAAGGGGTAGGACTGGACTAGATTACACATTGTATAGGGGAGCATTGCTGGGGGATCTGGGTTACTTCTGACAACGACGTCGGTTCTTTAAGTGGGGGAGTTTGTAATATCTCAAAGTCTCACGTCAAATGGGAGAAGCCCTGATAAGTGATTCATAAGTAGACACCTGCTCCTTGATGGTCACCCGTGGTTACTCAGAGTACTCGTACTCGGTAATCATAAGTAGACACCTGTTCCCTGAAGGTCACCACCTTGCGTGGTTACTCAGAGTACTCATACTCGGTTTGGGAGTTTGGCCCAAGTAGAACGGTCCGGGTTGTTACAATTTCTGTATGTAAATGAGAAAATTGTTTGTTCGCAGCATGACATTATGTAAAAGTATGGTATATTACTCATTGAGAAGAATGATAAGTTCTTGTGCTAAATTGCTTAGAATTTCATTCAGCTAATTCTAAGGAAATTGGTCAGATAAAATTAGCAATGTACTTGATGTTAGTTGGATGATGGATATATATTTCTTTCTCATGTAATGTCCAGTTACATGAAAAAAACTGTGCAATTGGTCCCGCAACTTCTGACGTTGTTCACCTTTCTTTCATTTGGCATATGTATGGGATGTATCAGAATAATCGGTTGATGCTTCTTTCTCTGATTAATGCCTTGCATGCGTTTTTACATTCCTTTGCCTACGTTTTATTTGCAGCTTATAGATGTTGGTGTTCTTGTGTGCTTCGATTCATTTCTCTCATTGTTGACAATCATGCCAACAAGGATCGCCATAGTATTATGGAGGCTTATGAGTACAAGGTAATTTGTTCATTTCTTTCACAATTTAAAGCAGTTCAAGCAGTCACGTTGCAACAATTTATCTGTCTTACACTATTATTTCACAATTGGTTTTTTGGTGAATCTTTTTGTTTATACTATTGGGGACATTTAGGAGTTTAAAACAGGTTTTTTGACTTTGACACCATGAGTACTCACTTGTTATTTAAACTTTAGCTCAACCAGGCGAGAATCATTGAGCATGGCACCTTGCACCTCATACATGATAAAGGGACTATTTTGTACCCTAAGTTTCCAAAAATTGAAAGAATATCAGTTTGCTTATCTTGTTATATGGATGGAAATGGTTGCAAAATGCCCCTTGACTGTTCCAACTTCCTTCCAAACTTTATGGAAGATTGACGAAGCAGTTTGATGCAAGCATGGGGGGGGGGAGGGGGAGGGGTTTGTAATTTTTGGTGAAAATTATGTAACGATGGAGGGGAGGCTACTGGCTGTTGTAAACACTAATGAAGCATGATCTTCTTTTAACAAAAGAAATTTGAGCAATTTGGCTCTCTTTCTATTCCTCCTATATTTTCAACCTGAATCCAAATATATGATTTATACTAGATCGCCTGATTGTTCTTGCTGCAGACAGTTAAAGAGGCCTTCTGCGGAGGAGCTGTCTGATTTTGGGTGTTTTATTGTGCTCACTGGCGGGGTTACTCTCTTGGAGAGAACAGGTGTGGCTATGTACTTCTTGCATTTGTCTGTGTTATTTTAACATATGGATGTGAATTGTACTAACTTTCTCCATTTCTTATTTTCAATGTTGCCTCCTCAGATATAAGCTTAATATATCATATGATTCGCGGTCAAGGAACAATCAAGCTCTATGTTGTGTACAACGTGCTAGAGGTCAGATCATAATGAGCTAGATTTCCCTACAGCCATTTTTGCGTCTTAGTTATTAATGTCTTTCTGTCCTCACAGACGAATTTGTTAGTTGATTTCCTTTGCTGAAGACTTTCACCTCAAGTAAAGTCGAGCAAAGGAGAAATCACTTAGTTTAAGTAAAGTTAGAATCTTAGATTAAAATCTCAGTTAGTGGTTTTGTTGTAAATGCAGAACCTGGTTATATTTTTCTTTGTAATTGTTGAAATTTAATTGTCGAAGTTATTTGTGATGTATGTAAAGTCAGTGGATGCTGTCTGTGGATTACATTTTGAAACTTTTACCTCTGCGGCTTACCTAGATTTATTGTCAGCAATGCCATTGGCCTTGACCTTGGAGAGCCACTCTGTGTTTTCTCCCTTATCAAGAACCTCTCTTGCTCTCTGCTGGTTTTTTTCTTGGGCTGCTTCAACTATATGCTTCATGTTACATATAATCAATACCTTAAGATCATAGTTGTGGGAGAATCTGTTATCCTTTGGCAAGTATTGTTATTCTTTTTTACTTTAGTGGGAAATTGAATAAGTCTGAATTGATCTTATAAAACTGAGATTCTTAAGTATATGTCTTCTGGTAGGACTTCCTATGTGGAAGTAAAGCGAGGGGCTTGGAACCTTGTTGTTCTCTGTACGAGTTCAGGCATATCAGCTCATTAGTCAAGTCAGTCTTATCCTGAGAAATATAGTTGAGTTGCATTTATGCTTGTGGAGGCAACATCTACTACTTATGTTGCCATTGGCATTTTTATGGACCAGTGTCACTTTATACCATGGTAATAATAATGCCTGGGAGAAACTTTGATGAATTTGTTCTTCTTGGACATTTGTGCAGGTATTTGATAAACTATGCCAGAATTTTGGTGGAGATGTCATGAAAACTCTGTTTAATTCTGCTGAAGAACTGGCAGGTTGTTCACCAGAAAACATGATGGTTTACAAAATGAGATTCCTTTCAGATTTGGCACTATCCGTGGGTGCCTCAAATATCCTTTTTGTTGTAATTATATTTTGTTCATTATAACTCTTCTGTTTGCTTCTTTGTATTCCTTCATTTTCGGCTTTGAAGTTCCTTTACAAATTATACTTGTTCATTCTTTTATCTTATTAGCTCAGGCAATTACTTTGTCAACGTGTATTGTTGCTCACAATAATGCACTGCTGGCGTTGCTTGTATCAAACAACTTTGCTGAGATAAAGAGTAATGTTTTCAAGCGTTTCAGCAAAGACAATATTCATAGTCTAGTCTACTATGGTAAGTTGGTCACTTTTCACTTTTCTTTCAGAATTACTGCCAAGCGTTTATGGGATTGGGAATTTCATTTTTGATGTGCAACTGCTGTTATCTTTAGACTGTGTGACATTATTACTATCAGTGATTCCATGTTCACCACTGGGCATTCGGTATTTGGACTTCCTCATACTGTATCTTTAATTAGCCAATGCGCTGCTTTTACTATGAGGTTTTTTCCGTGCTTCCTTTTTGTGGATATGCAGATTCTTTTATCAGACAGAGACCTAGTAATCTATATTTAGTCAAAGCGAAAACCTAATATGGAAATTTATTTGTTAACTACCTATGTTTGCAATTAGCTATATGAAATCCGTAGTTTAATTCCACTTGGTTTTTGGTTTGTTGGTTCGGTTTGCTGTAGAATATGTTTGTAATTCACTTCGGTGGTTTCATTTTCCAGCTGAACCATAATAAAACCTTCTCTTGGCTTCTGTATAATACTGTTTCTTGTGTAATTACATCAATATTGTGCTTTTGTCTTACAAAATCATATATTTCTTCGAATACAAAGTACTTCCTGAAAATTATAGATCTATATCTTCGAATAAAGAGAAATATTGCCTACGTTACCCTTAAAATAGCGTATATAAAAAAAATCCCAATAGAAAAGGCCTATATAGTAGTTATATTTTGGAGGTGGGCTGAAGTGATTGTTAATTTTAGTCTTAAATTCCATTGAACAGGTATTCTTTATTTGTTATAACCAAAACATGGAATTGTTGGAAATAGTGAGAGAATATCTTCTTCTTTTTTTTTTTTGCTTTTGCAGGGCTAGAATTCATCTAACAACTGCAAAATTTGCTTAACTAGAATTGATCACACATCTGCGGGATTTGCTTGGTTAACTCTACACTTGAAATGGGCTAAAAAATTTGAATCACCATAAGCCAGCTAATGTATCTTTAGAACACCAGTGGAATAAGTGGGTCTCTTCAAGTGGTTGGATCTGTCACATGCTCGTGACTTGCATTTTTGTTATACTACTCAAACACATCAAGTCTGTCAGGGAAATAATCTGCATGATTTTGTTGTTTTATGATTCATTCCTTGGGGGATTTTACTTTTCTCAGGATTACTGTTAAGTTGCTAGATGAGTTACGGGTATGCCTTTGCTTCCAAACAGATTCGGTTGAGAGATTCCACATTACAGCATTTGTATTATTTGTTCTTGCTCAGAATATTCTGGAGGCTGAAGGTCCATGGTTTGAAAGTTTTTTTATTGTAAGTTTTTTCGGGAACCTTTCAGCATAATTTCTTTTGAAGTTGATCTCCGCCCCAATGGAAGATTAATTTTCTTGGGGCATCGTTTTCAATCTCTTATTCTGTCGCACTTGGACTCTGCAGAATGCTCTCATGGTTTACTTCTGTGAGATAACTATTGATATCATTAAGCATTCATTCATTGCCAAATTCAACGATATCAAACCCATTGTATACTCCGAGTTTCTTGAAGACCTTTGCAAGCAGGTACCTCATTTCGTCTAACAACTGCTTATTCAATTGTCTTTTCTTTTCCCCATTCTGAGACACGCAACTGGCTTTCTAACATTCATATCATTTTGTTGCTTCGACACGTACTTACTTTTCTCCTTCTATTTTTTCATTAGACTTTGAATATGCAAACCGATCTGAAGAACAGTCTCACCTTCGTTCCTTTGGCACCAGCTTGTGTGGTAAGCGCCTGCTACTGAAAAGTTGAATCCTTCTCATGCATATATCATTGTGCTTAATAGCATAGAAAGCACCATAGCAGCAATCTATGGGTAGTTGTCTGGAGTAAAAGAAATACTTGCCTAGAAGGTAAAAGGAGTAGGCCATAAAAAATATGTCTAGACAGAGCCTAGAATATCATTAAATGGTGAAAACTGTCAATTTTGTGCAACGTTTTGGGTTCAGGTAATACGGGTTCTGACTCCGGTATATGCCGCACTTATTCCCTGCCATCCACTCCCATGGAGAGTCCTGTGGATCCTCCTCTTGTTAGCAGCGACATACATCATGCTCGCGAGTCTCAAAGTGATGGTCCGCTTGGGCCTGCAGAAGCACGCTTCTTGGTACCTCGATAGATGCCAGAAGAGAAGACACCACCTACACTTGGATTGATTTCAGCACCGCGATGGAGAATTTTCAGCTAATTATCTGCCTAGAGAAATCCCCATGTGGGGAACTACTCTTAATTCACGAACCACCTCTTTCGAGTTCGGCTTACGAGAATCCAGAGCACTGGCGGACGAGACATACGGTCAGATATCAGTCTTCCAACAAATATGGATACGATATCCGGAAATCGTCCCTCTTTGCCGTGACCGTGTAGACAAAGTTCACAAAGTTTTGGTGTAATTTGATAGCTCATGCTGTTGTTAATAGGCTGTTGCTGCCAAAATACAAGATAGAAAATGAACCAAAGACGATGGTACCCCATCTTCAAGTTAACTGCGGAATCGTTCAAACCAACCTCTCACCGAGTGTGTCGATTATACTACGGTCTGGCCAATTTTATTGCCGATCACGAATTTTCTTTCCGATGTTAATATAACCATCCCGACGAGGATGCTACAACTCATTGTGATATGTCGATCAATTAAATTTTTATGATGGGAAAACTGGAGCCTTTGGCCCAATTTGAACAATTCTCTTGGATAAATTCAGATAGTCAACTATTATTTCTATTTGGCCGTAGCGGGTTGCATAGAAATGAATGGGGAACTGCGACTGGAAAATTCACGATGTAATTGGATTGTGCTGATGTAGGAACCGGATGAGGCAATACACCAAATGCAGGATTCGACATGCACTAGAATATTGAGAAGTTCCTAGGGGGACTTCATCACCAAAGTCTTCACGTCTTTTGGTGGAATGACTGAGAAGAAGTACATCAATCTACTCCCAAAAATTAAGGAAGACCACGAAATTATCAGATACCACGAGACGACCGTGACGTCTCACCCGATTACCACCTTCCGATTATCAAGTAATCTCCCTAGCAATTTCCTCTACAAAATAGCACGAGAATTCACGATGCTTGTTCGTCGTGCGCAATCACGTGAAGCGGTTACGCGATACTTTCGAATTAAAAAAAAATGTGACAGTGTGGAAAGAAAATTTTCGCGAGAGGAATCTCCCCATGCAACTTTTGGATCCTCCCGTCCTACTTCGGCCGCAAAACAACACGAAAACAGCAACCACCCAAAAACCCCGTTTGTCATACCTTTTCACATGTCGACCGGCGACAATGTGCCCAAAATCAAATCCATTTCGTTTACTTTATAATCTGCGATGTTGACTATAATCTCTCCCACCCTCTCCCTCTCTCCTCCTTTTTTTTTGACAAGATTAGTAGCACCTCATCTCCTTGCCTTTCTTTAAGTTTTGACACCCCCAACATGTCAAATGAGGACAAATTTGCAAACAATGGACCAACCAAAGAGTCCAAACATTAAAACATTAACACTAAACACAAAATTTTTTTTAAGTCAAAAAAAATCGGCTTGCAAAACAGCAACGAACGTCCCCCCACCCTCCATTAGGGAAATCCCATGAAAGGACGGCCGCAGCGGCGCCACCAAAAAATCAACACCGAACAAACAAAAGAAGAAAGAAAAAAGAAAAAAAAGGCGCAGCAGCAGCAAAGAAGCGCGCGACCGAAAATCCCGCTCGCATTCGCGGGAGCCGTCCCATCCCCGCGGGGCCACGCGTCGCCCTCTCCAGCGATCGGAGGCCACGTTACAGTAGAATCGGACGGCCCGCATCAATCGAACGACAAATCGGTGGGGCCCCCCCTCGGCGCTCACGTGATCGGATCGGACGGCCAGCAGCAGGAGCGGTTCGCCTCCCCCCCCCCACACCCCACCTTCCCGCCTGTAGCGCTTTGCTCTGGTTTAAGTAAGAGAGCTCAAGCCCGATTCTCACCGAAAGAAAAGAAAGAAAAGAAAAAAATTCGAATGCTTATATCCTCCCTCTCTTCATCACCATCATCTTCATCATCATCATCATCGTCATCGTCTTCGTCTTCTTCTGCTTCATGATCGTCCTGTGCTCGCGAATCGCCGCCTCCGATCGCCGCTCCGGCCACCTCGCCGTACTCGCACCGGAGCCGAGCAAATGGTACGACTCCCCCGGACCTCGCTCGGCCGACCGTTTCGTTGTTCGTTCGAATGTGTCCCTGCTCTGTTTGCTTCGATGAGTTTCGGGGCTTCGTTTTTTTTCAAGTTCCGAACTTCCTCGGTTCCGTTCGCGCGCGCGCGGGGGCGGGCTCGCGCTCGCGGTAGTCCGGATCGGTCGGGCGTTTTTGTCGGAGTTTTCTCTCCCGAGGAATTTTGCGGCGAGAGTGTGTCGTCGCTTTTTGTCGAGATTCTGGCGGACGTCAAGGTTTTTTAGTCCGCGGAATTTGTCTGCGACTTCGAGCTTGTTGATTTGTTCTGGAGTCGAGACGGATTGAAATTTCTCGAGCCGCCGGCGAAAATTTATCTTCTTTTTTTTTTTTTTTTGGGTGAAATTTCGTGCTCGAGTTTTGCTTCGATGAGTCGCTTTCGGTTCGACTTGTTTGGATTCCTGCAACGGCGTCAAACTCGTGTCGAATTGGATGGAATCGCATCGGTTTCGTCGAATTTCTCGTGAGCTTTGAAGTCGTTCCGACGGCACGAGTCCCCGTGAAATCCGTCCGGAATCGGATTCGGCTGTCGGTTTCGAGTTCTGTTATTGGAGTGGAGTTGAGTGGAGTGGAGTGGAGTGGAGTGGAGTGGAGTGAGTTCGTTCTCCGGCTGATCTCGTGCGTGTAAATGTGCGTTTGCAGATAGGTTGCGGGTTCTATGCCAAGAAGAGGCCGCCGTCGGATTGCTGGCTGAGCACGCTCCTGCGGGGCGACTTCTTCGGCTCGTGCGTCGCGCATCACTACCTGCGGAAGAATGAGAAGAACGTATTCTGCATCGACTGCAGGGTCGGGTTCTGCAAGCATTGCATGGCGGCGCACGGCCTCCACCGCCGCCTGCAGATCTGCAAGTACGTGTACCAGGACGTGGTCCGCCTCCAGGAAGTTCAGAAGCACCTCGACTGCTCCAAAATTCAGGTTCGCATCGATACGGCTCGCGGGTCCAGTGTGGATGGCAATTCGCGACGATTCGCGCGGTTGCTTATCGTGCGACGAGTCTGCTATGTTTGTCAGTTCGTAAATTTGACTGGTGTTCGTGTCGATGATCATCCGAATTTCGATGGTCTATTTAGTTTAACCTATGGTGCTATGCCTATGAATTGCAATTCAATCATTAGATAGCTAGAAATGGAAAACTATGATGACCCTGCATTTATTTGTTAGCCTTTTTTGAGGAATCATCAAACAAACAAACTTCTGTTCTTGGAGAATTACTGGACAATTATAGCATGCGGTCCTTCTAGACTCGGGTTATAGATTCGGCGAATACAATGTCGAATTCAACTCTAGTTGTTTCTTTTTTGGCATGAGCTTGAATGTCAATTTCATAATGGGCAACTGCTATAAAAGATCAGCGAGCTGCCGTTGCTCCTTTTCTTTCTTGTTTCTTCCAGTTTAGCACTATGTGTTCTGTAAATTCCGATAAGCAGAGTTTGATGAACTCAGCTTAAGCAATTGTTTCGATCTGTGAATTTGTTTGGCCTTGTGATGCGTGAAGGGCAAAAGTCAAATCTTTAGTATGCATCCCTTTCACCAAAAGTTAGGCTGATGGCGCTAAGGGCTTGATCATGCGTTTCCCACAATTATTGACGATTTTGACATTGGCAGACATACAAGATCAATGGCGAAAAAGCAGTGCACCTAAATCCTCGGCCCCAATCCAGGGACACCAAGCCGTCGACAAAATCGAAGAATGGAGGAACCTGTGAAGCTTGCGGAAGATACATCCAAGACCTGCCTAATCGCTTCTGCTCAATTGCTTGCAAGGTAAAAACACAATTGTATTTTCCCCCCCTTTTTAAGCGTCTTCAATTGTATTGTCAAGTTTAGTTCTTAAAACAATCAATTTTACCAGGTCTCAGTGGTGTCAATGAAGCCGAACAACGAGCAAAGTCCCGACGTCATCACCATTCCCATCGAGGAACTAACCGATCTCTCGCTGAAAGACAATTACTGCTCATCGAGCAATGGCGACGAGAAAGAATCTTCCGTCTCTCTGGCCGAATCGTCCGAGGACGCACATTTCGGGGTTAGTTCTGTCCTGAAACCGAGAAGGCGTTCGCACAAGCGAAAAGGGTTCCCTCGCAGGGCGCCCCTGCAGTAAATCCCCCTCCTCAAGAGTGTAGTAGCTAACTTCCCCTCTGAGAATTCCTTCTTTTCCAATACATCATTATAGGTACACAGGGGTGACACAGGAATAAAAAGAAAACAATACGAAGTACAGTAAAAGCTTGGACATCATGCAAATGAACAGAGAATGTCACTTTCAAAGTATCCACCTTTTGCGACCTCCGCTGAGTTGGGTTAGTTGCAAAAGTGAGCGGCCCCAGGGCTATAGAAGATTTCAGAGAGGGTCAAAAAAAAATTTTCCTTGTGGGGGTCGTGCAGAGAAAATGACATGGCGATGTTGTTCGCTGATGACACGGCGATGTTCGTCGCGGCAGCGGCTCTATTTTTGGGTATTATTATTTAAAAATAATCGGTTTTTCATTTCAAGAGGGGGGGGTTGATTTCAATTGGCCATGGCTGTACCCAAGAATCACAATAAAAATGTGCTTACCATAAGGCTTAAGTTTCTGCCGTCGCCGATAGCATCGCTCGTGGGCGGGTCGTTCTTTTTATGCTTTGATGGAATGTTTCTGGTTGTGTTGGCATTTGGACTTTTTTCGCTTTGTTTCTCGCTGTCTTCCTCCTCCCTTTTCCTTTAGTAGAGCCTTGTCTCGATCGCTTTCGGTGGAACAAGGCCCCTTGGGTTGTCCTGGTCTTTGTTTGGTTGCGTGATGTTGGGCCCTCTCTTTCCTTAGATCATGGCCAGGAGTATAATTTAGTTTTATGCCCCCCGAGAGCCAATGTGGCAGACAAGAGATGGGGCCTCCCAAAAGGGTTTGCTGAGGGAACCGAATGAGGAGATTGTGGGGGTCAGGCCACAAATTGGAAGTGCATGAAGCACATGCATGGCTTGACTTTTTCCCTTCTTCTCTGTTTAACTTTTTCCGGTAATCGACGATGTCGCGACGAAACGATAGACTGATAGACTGATGGTCAGCTTCCGTCGATCAAATTTATTCCATCCTTTTCGACCCGATCGAAAGCCGAATGCACATCGGGATCGGGAGATCTAGCAATAGCTCGGGAGATGGGTGTCGAAGAAAGAACGAAACGAGATCTCACCCCGTGGAATTCGAGGCGCTTCGTCGCCGGCTTTAGTCTCTAGTCGCGTGTCTTGACTTTTTCTGCTGTGTTCCGTCAGATCTATCGTTTAGGTATGTGTCATGGCAACGTTAGCTTCGGCAAGAAATAGATAGCCACCAGAGGATTGTTTGTTGGTGACAACAGTTAACGTTAGGCTCGAACGAAAGAGCGTGATTGTGCTGTCGTTGGGCAGTCGATTCTCTCTACTGTTCCACCTTTGACTATGTATGCAGTCGGATACTGGAGCAGTGCAATCTGCGATGCCCGAAGTCTTGTCTTTTCCCACTTCTCAGGCCGGTGTGCCGAAGAAATACCAAACGTTTGGCTTCAGCTACTATCGTTGAAGTTGAGCGGGTAGTGTTTATGTCGGGGACTACGACGTGGAAAGAGACCCCTAAAGCACATGATGAAATTGGAAATTCTTTTGCGGTCCGTCCGATCAACGACGGACGCGGCTAAAGAGCTTAGGAGCCGTACTTAGGGTTCGATAGCACTTTCGTGTTCGTAAAGGTCGGCTCGGTCCTTACTCCCCGATACATCTTCTTAAGGTCAAGCTTGATGAAGCCGAAAAGCTTGTCCTTACTGGTTTCGTCAGGCTGCATTGGTCATCCAAATTTTCCCACTTGACCTGTAAATGCTTTTACATATCCAAGCATCATTTGAAAGTTTCAACCGCATATTCTCTGATTTTATGGGTCTAAAGATAAGACTTCTTTTGCGTAGGACTAATGAGAAACCAACAAAGTTTCTTGCTAATTGAGCTTCTAGATGGTACGAGGCCATTGGCTAAGTTGGCCTAATGTCTTCTGTGTTCGGCATAGCCTAAGCTAAAATCATCTACCTCCTTTTTTCTTTCGATCCTTTTCTTCCTCTTTTCTACATGGTCACGACGCATACGCTCGAAGCATAAGGCAATCTCGATGACAAATCGTAGTTCGCGGCGTAATGTGCTTGTGACCACGATGGAGAAAATCAGCTCATCTCCTACGGTCGCTCCAAGTGTAATTTCACCTAATAACGATAACAGAAGATAGGAGGAGAAGAGTAGAGGGTGCTGAAAGGGGACAATGCCAGCCGCAAAAGAGGGACTAATCTTTGGATTCCATAAGTTGATATCCACCAATGTGAAAGAACGGCTCATCACATGTAATTTTGGAAAAAAGGTCAGAACTCTTGTCCTTTGGGAATGATCAGTCAGTCCTGTAAGGGGAGTTTCATCCTCCCCTCATACAACCTAGAAAAAGAACTAATCATCCGTTCTTTTTATCTTTATATGCACTCATGAAGGAATCGAGTGGACCACATCATAGAACACATGACATTGATTGGAATGTAAGACCTACTTATTTTTGGACTCGTGATCTTGGGTCTGCGCCATCATTGCGTTGGAGAATACTATGATATGGAGAATAGCCAAAGATGGGGACGGACAACAACACCATCTCGGGATGGCCATTAAACCCATGAAAGATTATTTTTCGATAAGTGAAAGAGTGGGGACGGTTGATCAGCGGTAACAACCCCCTCTCGGTGTTACCATAAGGATCTCTGTTCGGTTTGAACCATAAATATTCCGCACCATCTGTGATTTGAAGGTCCGAGGTTGGCGAACCCGTCACCGCAGTTCCATCCAAGAGTTTGATAGAAGTACGTCTAAGCAAATTTATTCAATCTAAATTAACAGCCTTACAAAGCCTTTCATCTCTCTAATATATACAAAACGAAATTAAGGGCATCTGAATTTCAAACTTCTGCGAAAGAGTTTCATGTGCCGGACGGCTAAAATGACAAATTAACCTCCGATGGTTATGATATGGACCAAATCGTACGTCTTTTCTTTGACACGTATTTACCACGTGCTCCTACAGTTCTACTGATAGTAACAGAAAGCGACAGGTTTTTCGAAATGCACGATGCTATTCTTTATGCAGAGTAATCCCTACCATTATTATCCTGGATTGATGGGCCAAATTGGAGAATTTCTTCGAAAGTCGCTTCCTCACATCACCATGAACCATGAAAGTCAATGGTTGGATGGATGTCAACTAAAGATGAGTCGATAATCTGGAAATTTTACTTCCTAGATCTGCTTTGCAGGAACTAACCCATCAAATTGCAAGGAATGTGCCATAGCTACTCTCTCTCTCTTTCTCTCCGCGAAATTTTACGTGGGTGTCACTATTTTTTTCGTAAGTAAATAAAAGATACGTCAAGATTGCTTTACGGAATGATGTGACAAACTTCTCTATGATATTAAAGATAACCCATTTGTTTAAATGTCTGCTCACAATTTAACACAGTAGCGTATTCTTGACCTCGCTATGCCTAGCATTATTATTCTCGGTATGAGTAGCTCTGGTCTAGCGGGAATGAATGAGTTATAGGGATCTGGCCCCATCTTCTTCTTTCCTTTTCTCTAAACATATCAATCAGCCTTTTTTATCAGTTTGAATTCAAAGAACACTTTCAATACTCTCCACCTGACTTGCATGGAAGTAATCTCCGTCCAGCCCCCAAGATATTCCAATGAAGAATGTTTTGGGCCAAAGAAAAAGCAGCACCCACCATTCAAATTTTCTGAAACCCTCCATTATTATAAACAATAAAATCCGAGAGCTCTTCCACTAATTCCAAAGTCGAATAAAAGAATCGGATCTACGCCTGTTCAGTTCATCTGCAGCACCACAACTACATGGTGATCCTGATCAAGCAAAAAACATTTCTTGACTATATGTTAGAGAGCCATGAACAAAATTGACCGAAACGATATTTACAAGTTCTCCGACCCGGGAAAGGAACGGAATAAAAAGGAACATATATACCAGTCAGTTCTTGTTGTGCTTCACTGCATTGCACCTACCACATATGAACATCGAAGGAACATCCTCATCGTCCTCAATACCGGCGCACAAGGTATGCTGCCACACCTGACAAACATCACAAGCCACCATCCTCTCGCCATCGTCGTCTCTCGCTCCGCACACACAATCCACCACCCAATTATCTGTCCCACCTTCAAACCTCAATTCACTTTCCAAGTCTAGCCCTTGCCCTCTGACCAACACCTCCATTTGCGACTCCAGAACACAATGCTGCACTTGCTGATCATCGCTCACCTGCATTTCCCAAGCTTTCACTTCCCTCACAATGAACTGGTCCATTATGATGTATGTGTCCCTCAGTGCTCTCTGCACCGCCAGCTTGAGCTCACCGGTCGTCGCGCACTGAGGGACAACAACCAACTCGCCTGGCGGCAGTGGCCGTGTCAAATGCGACACCAACTCAGCGTAAGTCGGCATGACTCTGCACGTGATTCTCGTAAACTTCTCGTCCTTTGCATTTGCAGATTTCCACTCCTTGACGAAGTGCTTGCTGTCCAGGATCACCTGGGTAGCCAAACTCACAGGGTGGGAATCCGGGTAGCCAAACAAAATGTTCTCATACAAACACAATAAGTCCTCATAAATATCAAACTCTTGCTCTACAACTGGAGAACGCGAATGCAAACCATCTCTATCTTCAAGCTTTTCTGCCTTGCAAGCTTCTTGAACAGTAAATACCAGAGTTTTGGTTCGTGGGTTCATCTTGCGACGAACAATTTGACTGCCCACAATTGTGCTGTCTATGTTTTTTATGACGAAATCAATTAGTCCAGTATCTCCAATATAGAGACGGACAGCATCTCGCAATTCTTGCCTGGACATGCTTTTGTTTCCTTTAACATCTGCCTGGTGTTCTTTCAAAGTGTTGACTATAATTTTAGCTGCATGCTCCAACCTTTTTGTTGGCCATCTAGAATATAATTCTGCGACAGGAAGTGCGGAAATTAAGGATGTATCTTCTGCAGAATTATCATCAACTGGGCTCTTCTCTTCATAGGATCTCGAGATATTAGCAGACAGTGGTGGTGCAATATCATCAATTGTATTGAGCTGAAGAGGTTTTCGACTGTCTGTAACCATTTGCGATTCAGAACAGACAGCAGGGTATCCTTCCACGGTAGTCTTTTTCTGGATCGGATGTTTGTGATTGAAAGCAAGCACAAACTGTAGCAGGTCGCTGATGGTGACCAATTGAGACTCGCTGGCATCTTTATATTTACGTATGATTTGCCGAATTGCTCTGCCATGGCTTGTGTCAATAAAGTCTTGGACAATTGTATTGAGATCTAATGAACCAAGAACTTCAAGTGCTCTGTTGTATTTGTCTTTCGTGACTCCGAAACTTCCAAGATTAAATTTGTAACCCCATTTCGCAAACCAAGAGCATCCATACGCAAGTCCATACAGCAACCGAAGGTCCATCGAACCCTTCCTCGACATATCATGGACTGTGATTTTCCTAACAGTAGAAGCCCAAAACCAATTAGGAAAAGCAACAATACAACATCATCCTATCTACACCACGTAACATTCGATTTGATGCTCGCAAGACTAATATTCAAATTCACCTGGCTCGAAGAATCGCACAGATTCGATCCCACAGGTCCATCAATTCTTCGGCGCGAATAGAATGAGAGCCCTCCTCATTGCCATTAATACAGAGAAGATGCCCGAAACCGTTGCAGTGAATCATGCCATGCAAAAGATGAGTGTCAAGCTCGAGTATGTCTCCATTCATGGGTCTAGTCCATTCACCCTGTCGGGGAATGATGAAGTGGTATCTCCTCTTGGACACGAAATGGTGACTCCAACCTTCAAAGCCCGACAAGACGCCGATCACAAACCAGTAAATTACATATTCGGAAATCAAGAAACGAAAACTCAAAATCCTTCCCCAACCACGTTCGACGAAATGCACCCCCGAACCAGTACCAAGAACGGAATTCCAAAACGATCTCGATGCCGCAAGAAAACTCAAAAACCCTATCCAAAGAACAAGAATCTAGAAAACCCATTTAAAAAAAAAAAACAAAACCCAACCCGCGAACAGAATGAATCGCAAAACGCAGAAACCGCCGATCAGTACTCAAACGGCCACGACATACAGAATTCCCGGAAAACTGATCGAGAAAACCGACTCACCGACGCATCTGCAACCGTCGCAGAAGGGCCGCGGGGATCCCCGGACGTCCTCCTCGACGGTGTAGAGCGGGAAGACGACGCCGACGCCGCCGCCGCCGCCGCCGCCGACGAAGTCGGTGCGCCAGGTGGGGCTGGCGGCGACGGCGGCGCGGTCCCGGGGCTGGGCGCACTCCCGGAGGAAGCGGCGGACGTTGTCGCGGAAGGGGCCGGAGAAGTCCGCGGAGAATGCGGCGGGGGGCGGGGGGGAGGGGGTGGGCCTCCGCCGGCGCTTCTTGCAGGGGTCGGGGTCGGGGTCGGGGTCGGGGTCGGGATCGAGCACGGTTCTTGGCATTCTTGCCATCGTTGGTGGTGGTGGTGGTGGGAGTGAGTGTGTCTGTTGTTTCTTTCTTTTATGGGGGACGATGAAAAAAAAAACAAACACACGCACGCACAACAAGAGAACTAAGAAAGTGTGCGATCTTTTTTCGAAATTTTTTCAATTTTTTTTCTTTTGTGGAGATTTTGCGGAATTTTTGAAAATTTCCTGCTCTTTTTTTTTTTCTTTTGGTCATTTCAATTCATTTCGATATTATTATTGTTATTTTCTTTTGGGGATTTTTCTTTTTTGGGATTTTTTTTGGGGGTTTTTGTGGATGTCGTGTTGGATTGAAAAGCCCTAAATTGGCGGGAGACTCCGGGGTTGAGGAGTGGCAATTCGGTAAATTTCGGGGGAGGACAGAAGAAAGAGAGAGAGAGTGGCCGAGAGTCGGTGGTCGTTGTTGTTGTCGTGTCGTCTTTTTGGCGTCTTTCGTGAGATTTTTATTGAGGCGGTTTCGGCGCGGAGGAGGGGTGCCGTTTTTCTCTTGCTGGTCATGGCGGTCGGGGTTGGGGTGGCCGGCGGCGCTAGGACAAGGACGGTGGTCGGAATTCGGGCGGGGCGTTTAAAAGACATGGCGATATATCCAGATAAAAACGAGCTCGTAAAAGAATTTTTTTTTTCTCTCTCTCTCTCTTTATATTAGGTGGAGTATTCAGATGGATCTGAACGGTGGATATGAATATCGACAAATCGTCTCGTCCAAATGTAATCTTGTAATGTTTGTACTTATAGAATGGTCTTGTGGCTCCTGAGACCGTGAATATAAGATTTGAGACAAGATTTTTGCTTCTTTTTTTTTTTTTTTCCGAAGGATAGATCCAACCGATAGGATGACCTGATCCGAAGTTACGTCAGCATGTTTGATATCCAAAGATTGAGATTAGCCCTGTTTCCCTATTTTCTCTTGTCTTGGGAGCGAGATCACGGCATCCAATCTTGAGGTAGTGACCTTAGATTGAATGTCTCTCGTCTAGCTCGGCGACATGTACGTGGCCGGCAGTAGGGAGCGACCTCTGTTGAGCGAGCGTCCGAGGTCATGTCTCTGGGGCCGGGTTTACAGGGCAAAGCACGAGAAGAGACGGGTGGTTGGGCACGCACGGTGGCGGCCGGGGCTCGTCTTAATCGGGTTGCTGATGCGTCATTAACGTGACGGGGGTCAATTCACTCCATGAATTTGCATTAGGCATGATTCCAATCTTGAAAAAAAGAGCACAGACATCGTTGCTGAAGTTTGGCTAGGCATGATCTCATTCATGCCTCTGGAAGCCTGTCCGAGCTCGTCCGAGCTCCACGAATCTCTGCAAAATGATTTGTATGGGCTCGTATGGCTTGACAGGTTTTAAGAACATTGTCATGAGTGGATTTGTCGACGTGACAAAATACATGCAATACGAGTCCTGAAAAACAGGGCAAGAGCGGTACCAAACCAACATAAACCAGAGAGTTTCCGAAAGAGCGCAAAACTGCCGTTTTGAACTCCATATAGCCATCCTTCTCTCTCTCTCTCTCTCTCTCTCTCTCTCTCTCTCTCTCTTGTCTGAAGGTTTCAATTGGTTCCTGATAGATTGTCTTAACACCAATTTGCAATGTCGGTGAGCGTTCGATTTCATGTGCTCTGTCTTTGTTGCTTCTTCTGGTTTCACCTGATGCATTTGCTTTTCCAAGCATTCCCATTTGCAAGCCTATGTTCAATCCTTTTGTTTCCTCATCAAATTCAATGTCTTCCTCGTCATACACTTCCTAAAAGGATCAACCCTCCTCAATATTGATCTCGATTACACTCGCGATCTTATCCACCATGTCACTCATAACATAAGTTCCGTCCCGACATCGCTTTTGTCATCTCACAGATTGAATACGTTAATGTTCTGTGTTTCCCTTGAATATGCAGGTCTCCGATGATAATGCAGAAAGGAAAAATGGGTCAGTCCCAGAATCCATCATGACACCAAACTGGACAATAAATGTATCCGAGGTGCGTTTAGTTTCGCCGTTCATTCGCACGAGATTTTGCAGTCGCATAACAAGGGTAGTTGTCGGAATATACTAACATCGACGCGTATTTATTACTGCATTCTCAAAGTTTTCAAGACGAAGGCTTGTTGCCATTTTTTTACGATGATCTCATTATGGGACGATCAATGTATTTAAAGTTCTTCATCTGTTTATCGTGCTCTTCCACATTTTGTAGATAAAGACGATCAAGGTCAGCAACATTTCTCCGAATGTTTCGGACCGAGACATTAGAGAGTTCTTTTCTTTCTCCGGCAATGTCCAGTACGTCGAAATGCGAAGGCAAGAATTTAAGTTCACCTCGTTGGACAAGAGAGAGTCCTTATGCGCAAGAATTTTCTTGAGAATGCACTAGAATGGTGATTTTATTTGCAGAGAATCAGAATCGTCTCAACTAGCGTACGTCACTTTCAAAGAAGCGCAGGGTGCGGACACAGCAATGCTTCTCTCGGTGTGTACTCTAAACCAAAGTTGCGATATATAAGCCATGGATGAACAACTTTAGTTCGAATCTGTCGACACTTCGCTCGACGGAATACTCTGATGTATATTCTCCTGTGTTTGGCGCCAGATAGAATTCGGAAGTCGAAAGAAAGATCGCGCCGATCGATTAGATGTTACGATACGACATTGATTGCATTACTGTCTATTGATTGAGGGTGAATACTGAGTAGATTGATTTCAGGGCGCTACGATGGCTGATCTTTGTGTCAGCATAACACCTGTTGATGATTACCAGCTCCCCCCAGAAGCTCTGCCCTCCACACCAGTAAGATCATGTTCTGTTTCAAATTCTTGGAGGCTAAACGTTTTGTGTTTTAGTGATGTTTCCATAGATGGTGATGCACTTGGTATATTTCCTCCGTCATGGCCCGCTTATTTTGCGAAAAACTAATAATTTGAAAGAGATTTTATCAATTTTTAAGTGTTTGTATGACTTAAGAAAGTAAGTTAATGGAAATTCGTTTATTTGTGTTTCAAATGATACAAACCATCATCATAAATAAGATGATATTTTTCAAATTACTCATTTTTAAAATTGCATTTGATTTGTCAATGTGAAATTCATGTGATTTGAATTTTGATACGAAGGAGAAGAAACCAACCATTGGTGGTGATGCCATCAGAAAGGCCGAGGACGTGGTGAGCTCGATGCTAGCGGCGGGCTTCGTCCTCGGGAAGGACGCGATCGCCAGGGCCAAGTCCCTCGACGAGCAGCACCACTGGACGTCGAGCGCGTCCGCCGCGGTCGCCTCGATCGGCGGCAAGATCAACCTGGGCGAGAGGCTCGGCGCGGGGACCACGGTGGTCGCGGGCAAGGTGAAGGAGATGGACGAGCGGTTCCACTTGTCGGAGATGACGAGGTCGGCGCTCGCGATCGCCGAGCAGATCAAGGCGGGCGGTTCGACCGAGAGCTCCGGCATCATGAGCAACCGGTACGTGTCCACCGGGGCTTCCTGGGTGTCGAGTGCTCTCGGGACAGTCGTTAAGGTAGCCGAGGACGTGACCAACATGACCAAGGAAAAGGTCGAGAAGGCCGAGGAGGATAAAACGGTAATTTCGGGCCAGGGAGAGGCTGGGAAGGGAAACGATGCTGCTGCTGGTGCTACCCAAGTTCATGTGGATGGGTCTTCAGGGGGAGCTCCCATTGTGCCACTTGATTCTAAGGACGCTAAACTTGGGATTATATGATGGGAGGGCTATTTCGTCTTTTCACATTGCGCTCCTGGGGATTTCATCACTTGTTGTATAGACTATAGTGCCGTTTGACACAGGTTTTGTGGGTACTTGGGTTTTCTTGGACATTTGGGTTGTGTACTATTTAGCGACGCGCGCTGACGACGGCGATCTCGATGACCGACGGGGGCTTGCCGTCTCCTAACTGCTTAACCCGTATTGATTGATTATCTCGTGAAACTTTTCTACCCCGAAAGTTATCTCGCCTCTCTCGGATCTAGTTTCTCTGGCCGCTGCCGATTGATGTCGCTGTTGTTTGGCTAAACCTAGAATCGTGTACGCCTTTGTGCCCCATGCAGTCTTCTCAGCACGTTCGTTTGCTAGCTGTCTGGTGGATTTTGGAGTGGCATTAGTAAATCGAATGACTCTATTCGTACCTTTTAACTGCGTGCATCCGGCAGGGACTCGTCTGATTGGTACCTTCGAATGTTTTGAATGGAGCTATGCAATGGTGTGGGGATCGTTAGGAACAGAAGAAGATTCTCAAAGACGGGGGTAGTCCTTTACATGTACTTCGAGATTTGCTGCAGTTTAAGTGGCTGATGAGGATGCACATGAACTAGGAGTAACTCCAGTTTCAGCAGAAGATATTACATCCCGAGGGCGCGTTCGGCAGCCTGGATAAGATTTGGGGGATGGCCATATCTCTTCCGTGAGAGCGACCATCGCTACCGTGGTCGACACGGTCAGACGACCCTTGCCATGGAGATAGCCGTCCGAAATGGCGACCGCCACAAGCGGTGATCGTGTTGGGTTGCATAATTGAATAGCTAGGCCTTTCTTATCATTTCTATAATCCTAGTTCAGGTTACATCCAGTCACTTACCAATTAAAATATCAGATATAGCATATCCTCCACATTTCTCATCATTTCTTATCCTAGTCCCAATTCTTATCTTAACTATGAAACGGGACATGATAGTTTGAGTATAAATGGCGATAGGGGTGCACATCCTCGTGGTTACTCCGCTCATTTAATCAATCTGCTTGGAGTATTGTGGGCAACCATATTGTTGTTCTTGTACGTGACATCCTTAAAAGTTGTAAAATGTGATCAATTACTCTGATATTTGAGTAATTTCACAAATGGTCATTAAACTTTTAGGGATGTTTGCAATCCAACCATTGAACTTTCATTGTCATCTAAGGAGTCAAACTTTGATATTTTTGCAATTGATGTATATTGACTAATACCAACCCAAAATTCCTGCCAAATACTGACACGAGGAACACCTCACCGATTCACAGGCGCATGTTGCCTAGCCCTAACCAATGAGGGCGATGCACCGGCAAGGGCTAAGCGACCCTCGCCATTTCCAGCGATCATTTTGTAGTGATGGGGTCTCATAGCCCTCAAACAAGGCATCGCCCTCCCATGATGAGAGCCAGAGCGCCCTTGCCTGCCACTGGTGAGGGTCACACCACCCTCGGTGATGGTGGAAAGAAGCAGCATTACCCACACATGTCTGCTACTCTATTTATCTCTTCGAATTTGGGTCCAGCAAACCCCCATTTGAACACGTCGAAGGCCGCCGCATCCTTGCCGCCTTCCGGGCGGGGTTAGGCCGTCGAGCATCGAGCGAGCCCCTTCACGTTCTCTCTTTCGCTTTGCATAGTGCATACTCCCTTTCTTTCTTTCGATTGCCAAATACGCCCCGATATGTACGCTACACGTCCCAAATTTGGCCACTTCACAAGCAATTTGACGGAGTCGAGTAATAATTGACGATGGATGAAGGACTGTATTGCACAAATTACAGAAGAGCAAGGATTAAATGGAAAAAAAGATAGGAGGACGATGACGCAAACTTTAATGATTGAAGGACCGAAACTGTAATTAACCGAATCTAGAAGCGTGTCTCGCAAATGCTAGGGTTGCGCAACGTTCGCCTATTATAAAAGCCGGGGCTACCTTTATTAGACTGAACGAGAAAGTTGTCGGCTTCATCTTCAGCTTCTGCTTCGTCTGCTCGGCCGCTGTGAGCTCGGTCCTAAAGCCTAGTGGCTCTGTTCCTCGTCGAGTTTACCTTGCATTTGTTAGCTCCGCTGTCTCATCGCTGGAGAAGTTACTCGGGTTCCATTGCATGCTTTCGGAACGTTGTCAACTCTTGATGCTGCGGATGATGCTGTGTCTGTACAAGTGTGCCATTGATTTCTTCACTTCTGTTCATGACTTGGGTTTGGACCCTTTTTGTCGTTCTCCCCTTTTGCTTCTGGAATTGATTGTGGGTCTCTTCATTTGTTTGTTTTCCCCCCCCTTTTCTTTTTCATTTCTTGATGAGAAATTGCCATTGATTGCGGGGACTCAAGTGTGGTTGCCCGCATTTGGTGTTTATCTGGATACATAATTGAGAACGGCCACTGTATGGTTTGCCTCTGTGATGAATTTGCGATACTTTCGTTCTTCCGACATGTTTCGTGAGGAAAAAGTTTTGGAGACCTGAACTGAAGAGGCATTGATGAGTGATTTCTATTGCATCTGTTTATGTTTTGTTTTGTTTTCTGTTAGTACAGGGCGGAAGAAAGCTGTAGTCTTTGTTTTTGTGTTTTTTTTTTGGTCAAAGTAGTCTTTGTTTGCAACAAGTGCTTTTTGCTTGATTACTGCCCATCTTCGTTTTGCTTTGATCATGATTTACCTTGATCTGTTCTGTGGCTTTTAAGGGGCATCATTTGCTCATTTGAACTTGAGACAGTAGTAGTAACGCCTCTGAGGATGACCATTATATACTTTCGTTCTACTGAAATATGTCATGTGGAAGAATTATGGAGACCTGAACTGAAGAGGCGTTAACCATCTGTCTATGCTCTTGATAGGGCTAACTCGATTGCTTCACTTTTGTTTTCTTTCCAGTTTTTCTTCTTTGTCATTGCGAATTTCTCCTTTTGTGGGGTTCTTTTGCCCAATGCGAAATTTTTCGTGAGAGGTTTAGTTCCCAAAATGGAAGTTCCATACCTTGTGTCTTTGGTCTTGGTTTGACACCTTATTTCTGGATGTGTTCTCACGACTACATTGTTTAAGCTGTCGTTTCAAAATATTGTTCCTCGACTTTCAAGTTTCAAGTGGCCTAATTTGCTCAGATGAGTGTTTTATTCCCTAGGAATTAAGGAAGGTAACAATGCCTCTTGGGATGATTCTAAAAATACTTTCGTTCTTCCGAGATGTTTCATGCGGAAATATATTGGAGACCTGAACTGAAGAGGCATGTTGAAATCTTCTTTTGTTTTCTTCTTCCTCCTTTGCGGTGTTTCTCTCATTGACAACACTTCTTTTCGTTTCTTTTTCCAAGTCTGTATTAAGGGCTCCATTTTACCTAAGTTTGTATGGGCTTGATTGCTTGAAAAGGAACAACTAGTAACACTAGAGAAAAGCGATATAAGGCTTCCCTGTTTTACGCCTCTGATGATGATTATGACAGAACTTTCGTTCTTCTGAGATGCTTCGTGCGGAAAATATCTGGAGACCTGAACTGAAGAGGCATGATTTCACTTAGTGATTAATGATTGATGGCCTTCACTTTATAGTTACAATTGCAATATTTCTTTCACCTTTTTCCCAATTGCCTATTTGCATCGAGCCATGAACAGATGCGTTCATCTCATGTTTGGTCTTTGTGGTCGCATTTCAAAGTCTAATTTAGATTGCTGACTGTGGAGAAAGTTTGAAGCTCCTACTTAATGTCCTACTCAGTGTTCTTGCTAAATTGGTTCGTTTAATACTTTCAAGAAGTACTTATAGATGTTGCCTTTGACTTTTTTTCTTCTTTAGACAAAGCAACACCTGTGATCTTTAAAGGTTAATTTATTTTTTGGGTTAGTTCCTTAGCATTGAAAACTATTGTTTCTAATATTAATCCGTTCACTTGATTCTATTTTGTTGAATTGCAGTCAAAATTTGTGCAGCAGCACAAATTCCACGAGTATTCTCTGGTCACCTGTGAATTGTTTGTTTTGGTTATGTAATTAGCTTCTAGTTCAGCTTCTAGTTCAGCTTGGGCACTTGCAACTTTCTCCCATATTCAATCTAGATGAGGTTATATAATTGAGCCACTTATTCCCACTGTTTTCTTTTTTGCGCCCCATCTCTGATAAGCCATCTATTTTGGCTTCAGAATTACATAGGTAGCAGTTTGAATTTGAAGCGATTCTTGAATATCTGAGATATACATGGATGATGGGGATGCTGATTATCAACCAAGACAAAAAAAGAGTTACGGTAGCCAATGTTTCTTGCCACTCTTTTCGGTTCTTATCCTGTTAATGACGTGGGTTTGTGTAGATGCTCTCAGGTTCTATTTTCTTTTCTGAACATGGCATTTGCTAGAGTTACATCCATTTGGCCTTAGTTATTCCAAAGTAGGGTGATCGGTTTTCGGATGGGCTGGTCCTCTGCCAGGAACCGGTAACCAACCCTATGGTTCCCGGTTCCAGAATCAATCAGTCCGGTCCGGTTCTCTAGAACCATCTCACATTGATCTGAAACGAAGGAGACGTGCTTGCTTTTTTACTTTTGAATACAAAATAGAGTCCCAAGTGTGAGATCTCAGATCGACTAGTGAACAGTGTTGGTTCCAAAAAATTAGAATCGGGAAATGGATTGGAACCGCTTGCAATTGGCCGGTTTGGTCCGGTTTCCAGATTGAAACGTGCTCCAGAAGACTACTCGCTCTTTGAGAAAGCTACTAAAGCGCAGATCCCCATTTAGCTATCGGAGACGGCAATTCTAGCTATATTTGGTTCATGACATCCATTTAGTTCACTATTACGTGGTGCAGACATTTGATTCAAGATTTGGCTCTTCCTAAGCGGCACTGTTGTCAACTATTATAAAGCTGCGTGACTGGGTCTAGCCCAGTGTCTGTTGTGATGCTTGGTAGCTTATGATGTGATATGCACTTTGTGGAGTTTTCTACCCTTGGTCTCACACAAAAGGACTGAATTAGTGTGGTGATTGTGCCTTTAGACATCTCAAGTTTGGAAACAGAAATTCATTTGTTAAATTTTTTATGTTCGGGCACAAATTTGCAAAAAATTGTTTTCAGAATTAATTTTGAAACAGAATCAAGAAGCAAAAAAAAAGTAGTTTCTTGATTTTTGGAATAATTTTTTCATTTTTTATTCTTCTTGGTTTTCTTCTTCCTTCTTGGTTTGTTGTTGTTCTTCTTCTTGGCCCGCCGTCGGCCGTTGGCGACTGGCCACAGGCTAGGGTTGGCGAGGGTCTTCCTCGCTGCCTGGGCGAGGCCGACCTTGCTGCCTTGACCCAGGTCCCTTGGCGACCCAGGCGAGGGACTTGGGTCACGACGGCGAGGGCTGCGACGCCCTGCCATGGCAATGGAAAGGAAAGGAAAAAAAAAAAGAAAGAAAGAAATATCAAAAAATTCAAAATATTATTAATAAAAAGGAATTTTTTATAGTTATCAAACGTATTTCTATTCTAAGAATAGAAATTTTGGACAGTTACCAAAAGCCTTCAAATGCTTAGAAATTGTTTTCGGGTACAGAATAAAAAAGAATCATTTCTGAGCAGAATCAGTTTCCGAGTTTAGAATCAGTTCTCGAGTGCAGAATCAGTTTCCGAGTACAGAATTATTGTCATGTGCACCCTTAGTAACTCAATACTAAATGGTAATTTAATGGGAGAATAATTGATGGGTCGTGCTAGTTTAGTTTGGTAATAGAGTCAATTAATGTTAGGTAGGCGTTCAAGTCTATGTTCCTAATTTTTTGAATCGGGAACTAATCGACGAGAAGAATGTGAAAGACCTTTACTTAGGGTTACGGCTAAATCGATTCAAAATCAATTTGATTTTAGGTTCCCCGGTAGAATTAGGTAGTGAACCGATTTAGGCTAGTTCTCAAGAGAATCGGACAAGTCTCCTTGTGAACTGGCTTGTACTAGTTGAGAAAAGCCAGCTGAACCGGCTCAATTGCTCACCCCTAATGTAAGGGGTAGCTAACCAATGCCATTAAAAGTTTGTAACTCGATAGGAGAGTTGATCATTTTTTTTTTAAAGAAAAAAACTCTTCAACTTCTATAAGTAATTTAAATGAGTGTTGGTAATTCAAAATTAGTTGATAATATATTATATGATATAATTTAGTAATTCAATCTAATTTAGTTTGAAATTTCATATAAATGATAGCAAGTTTGAGGCATCAAGTAAGTTATGCAAATAAAGTTGGTTAAGTTATTACAAAAATTACCGATTTGCAAACTATCAAAAAAGTGGATAATCTCGTAGAAATGATGATAAGTCACAAATAAGTTACCTTAAAATAAGGTTACCCATAAATCATTTTTGCCGGCAGTGTTTTTGTGTTCACCAGCACCTTATGATAATTACTATTACAGAAAAGAAGAATATGTATTTTTGGACATGAGGACAATAAAATTATGGTCAGTGAAGATCAGTGTGGATTTTAAAAAGAGCGGATAGGTACCTCCACTGCTAACAAGGATGAGATCTCTTTTGATCTCAAAGACCCTTATGATCATCATCATAAACAAAGGTGATTCAGTAACTTTCTCAAAAGCAGATATCATTGTGAATACTCTCAATTCAATCTAAGCAAAGTCAGATGTGTAATAGCCAGGAGCTGAAAAGATATATAAAGAGAGAGAGAGAGAGTAAAGATGGTATGATGGGCACAAGATTAACAATTAACATGCATGAACTTTTTTTTTGCGAAATTACACTTGAAAGTGCTAAAATTGTCTCCTCATCACTTACGTATCTTGCTTTGGATCCCTTCATTTATACACATGTTTTATGTCTCTATTGTGAGTATACTTTTTAAGCGACTGCACTCGCTCCTACACAACTTATGGTAATTTAAATGAAGAAGAAGTAAATTCGGTGTTCCTGACTCGTGACGACAACCGTAACCAAGCAAACATCGCCGGTCGTCGTTCTCCATCGCCTGTATCACGTGCTCCGAGCATAGCTGAATCAGGGCCAAGACGAATCATCAACATATGGATCAGGGGCATATCGTGTCAGTGTTATGAAAGTTGGAGGAGGCAAAGCGAAATGAAATAAACTTTCCCAAGGACAGATTGATGAAGATTGGGATATCCAGGGGCCCAAAAACAACCTTGCATCTTTTTCCCACTAACTTTCCTTCCCTGGAAAACAAAGTTGAAAAGCAATAATGTAGGGAGGCCACTGAGCCGACCCTGTCGTGGACCAAGTGACCACACTTCTCCCTCTCCTTCTTCTACTCCTCCTTCATCATCTTCGGTGGTCAATTCAGTGGGGCGTGTGGCACTGCACTGGAATCAACGCGAGGACCCGACCAGTCCTAAAAAAAAACAAAGAAGCCATCGAATCACCACCTATCCTTTTCATTTCATTCCCTCCTCTTTTGAGCTTTTCCTTCTTGGTGCGTGTGGATACCGCGTGGCATAGGGCGAAAAGCAGGCAAAAAGCAATCACAAAAGTGGACGCAATAATAGACACGCACCAGGATAAAGAAAGGGAAGGGAAGGGAAGGGAAGGGAAGGAGGAAGGGTGATGATCGCCATTCCCATTCGGGGCAAAAAAAGTTTGCTCCTGCTTTGGACTCGTGCCTCATATGCCCGAATTCAGATTCCAATTCGGAAGCTGGATCGTGGGGAAAAGGCGTGTGGTGGGTGTGTGTCTGCAGAGGAAGAGTGTAATTATTTTTGATTTTGCAGAGGCTTTCTTAAAGCATCTTTTCTCATGTGATACATCGCTGTTGAAATCCTTGCATAGCGGGACTTGTTCCTACACTACATGAATATTGACAGGATAAGGGAAGGGCCTGATGTTTTATTTCAAAGGTTTTGGCTCAGAAATCGCGCGTCGGTAATAACAACTCGAGTGTTCTTTGACAGATTATCGAAAAGTTTGGCTTTGTATCGCGTATCGATGCGATCGGCTCTCAAGTAAATAGAAATTTCAACTCGTGCATATCGAATTCTTCTCCTGTAATCTGTTCCTAATTTCCTACGTTCTACCCAACACTTGCATCTTGAATTTATTGGGAGGACATTCTCTCAAAATGATGACAAATTTAACCCATGCATAGCTCTGGGTGGGGGTGCTGGTATAGGTACAAGGTACAGAATTCTTTTTTTTTTTTTGGTCGAAAAAAAAATCAAAAATTTTCATGGAATTCACTTTCATGGAATTTTTGTTCAATTCAAGTCAACCGTATCAGATAAAATCAAAAATGGGTCAAATTAATCGGCACGGGAGGAGAAAAATGCAATGTACTTGGCTGCTATGTTCTTCAGTTTTTCAGACCCACGAAAGCAACTTTACTGAAAAAGCAAAATAAAGTAAATTAAAATAAACTTCTGGAGCTGTCTCTTATCACTTTATCAGACTGTCCACATTGATGAAAGTGAAACTTTATGCCAAACCCTAATTCAAAAAAAGAAAATTTATCATATATTCTAATTCATCTCAAGTAAAAAAAAATTTGCTCTAGGGTAATTATCGTGGGTCAGAAAC